AACATGGAAACTGTAGGGTGATTAGAAGGTTGAGGTTGATTGTAAACATCTCAAACACATTTTTGACTGCACCAAGTTCTGCATCTGAAGCTTTATCTGTCTTTTTTTCCTTTCCTCTCCTATCTTCCTTTTCACAAGCAAACCATAAAGAGCTCCAGTTTACTTTGGGATGACATTTGACTAGCTGTATGTGTTACCTTCACGTATGACACAGTGAAAATGTGAAGGCCTTGACTTTGAGTGTATTACTGTCTGAGTGATGAAAAGGGTGAGTGCTGGCATGAGGGACCATGACTTAGAACCTCGCTGTATCTCTTACTGGCTCTGGACCTTGAGCTAGTCATTTAACACTTAACCTCCCTGCAGCTACATACAAAATGTAGAGGGTGGAAAAGTAAAGACTACGAGTCTGTACTCAATTTTTTCAAACTGCATTATAACTTAAGTTCTTGTTAATGATTCCTTTTGTTTTTCCTGAGTAGTTATAATATTTCTATAATTTTATCTGCAGTGTGCAGTATAAATACTGACTTGCATTCTTAATTAAAATTAAACACAGAATAAACTAGGTGTAGTGGTACATAGCTATAATACAAGTGACTTGGGAGGCTGAGGCAGGAGGATCACAAATTTGAGGTCAGTCTGTGCATCTTGGCATGATATTATATCAGAATAAAATAAAGAGGGCTGGGAATGTACCTCTGTGATAGAGCACTTGCTTAGCATTTGTGAAGCCCTGGGTTCAATCCACAGTACTGCAAAAAACAAAAACAAAAAACAAAGAAGAATAAGGCAGGGTTATATTTATATTTTTAGTTGTAGTTGGACACAATACCTTTATTTATTTTTATGTGGTGCTGAGGATCGAACCCAGTGCCTCACACATGCTAGGCAAGTGCTCTACCACTGAGCTACAACCCTAGCCCCAGACAGTATTTATTTTGACAATCACAGATATGACTTTTTCATGAAATGGAAGACATTGATGTTTTGGAAAATACCAAATCATTGAGTACATCAACTAGATTTCAACAGAATTTTATGTGGAATTTTTAAAGAGGGAGGGGACTCTGAATTAAGTGAATTTTGCAGAAGTGAAAAGAGAGGATTCCTGCTCTTTAATGTTTTTGTTGGATAATAATTGATCAAAATTGAAAAATGGAAGCTTTTTGAGTTTTGTGATATATAACTTGCCCTTATAAAGAAGCACCTGAACCCAATTTGGCCACTCTGAGACAGGTGATGGATGTTACACTCAGCATCACTGCACCCTGTGATCCTGTGTGGACTTCAGAGTCAGGACACGTAGGTTTGAATCCCCAGTCGGCCAGATACTAACTTGTTATCTGGGCCCCTTAATTAATTGCTCTGATCCTCAATTTCTTCATTATAAAATCCAAGATTATGCTTAACTCATAGGGCAGTTAGGGGGCTAAATGAAGTGATAAGTAGAAAGCATGCAGCTAGACCCTTCCACCAAACAGGTGGTTTATATAGTGAACTATTCTTAAATAATATTATCAAATAATATATTTTAATTTAGTAATGCTTTATACAATAATATTTATTTATAAGTAATAGTATTTCAGAGATTCCTAGCTTTGAGATCATGTTAACTACTTATTTTCACTTTTAAAAATGGAACCATTCCCCTACCTTCCCTGCACACAGCACCTTGTAGGGAACTAGAATATCTTTGATAGAGCTTCAGTAGAAGCTGGGATGTGGGTCTCTAGCCTAGCCTGGGCTCCCTGCTTTGCTACAGGGCCTTGCCACTTTAGGGTGCCTTGGGAACAAGGTCAGAAGAGTTGCCCTGGTCAAATCCTCATTCTTCTCCAAAATCTCATAGCCACTTGGGTTGAGCTAAGAACAGAGCCTAGGCCCCTGGGCCTCTAAGTCATGTTTTTGTTTTCTAAAGCACTCTGCAGTGTCCACCACTGGCCTGAATTACAGGTGCTGCTAGTCCTCTCTCTTGTAGAATTGGGGCCTGTTTTCCTTGATGTGACAGCTATCCCCATCCTAGAACCTGATGCCTCAAGAGGCTACTGGCTTGATTCCTGGGTTTACTGATGGCCCTACTTAGGTGTTATGGCTGCTAAAAACCACACGGCATCCACAACAGTCAAGTATAAAACAGGAACAGAAGTGGTTAGTCTCTCTCAAATTGCAGCCTCGCCAATGATATTTGATAAGCATCCATTTCTAGGCACCTGAAAAAAATTGCATTTGGTGCAGTAGTTTCACTTCTCTACTTGGTGGTCAGTGTCAGCTGGTGATGACTTGCTGTATTCTTCATTCAGTGAACAGAAGCTCCAGTCATCAATTGTTAAAGAGCAATCTGACTTTTCTGTCTTCAGGTTTTTGTCTGGAATTGAGGTAATACTCTTCTGCAGTCCTCATCAATCTAGGGAGGTTATGGTTTATGACATTAAAAATGTATTGAAAACCTTTTATTAGAAGATGAATACAAGATATTGTTATGTAAATAAGCCTAGATTTTCTCTGCAAAAACAGATTGGTGACCTCTTTGGCAGAGTTACTGCTTTAAGATGTATGGCCTTTTATTTCTGCTTTGCATTAAAGACTCTTGGTTTCTTCCTAGAGCATCTACAATGGAAACACATATTGGCTTTCCCCCAGTTTTATGTTTTCCTATATCATGTGTCTTGGTGTTTCTGCAATTCCTATAAGATGAATAGCTCTCAAAAGACACTTTTTTAAGTGCTGGGGATTGAACCTAGGGCCTCACACATGCTTTCTGCCACTGAGTTATATCCCCAGACCAAGATGAACTGACTTTGTACAAGGGACCTCACCCCCCAGCCTGAGTTCCTGAACGAGACATGGAACCAAATAATTTCATCTCTGTTTTTTGCTGTTGCTTTTGAGTGATTTTATGTTGGAAATGGATCTCTATCATATAATTCCTTCTATGTCAAGTCAATGTTTATAACTCTACAGAAAACTGTAGAGTTCAATTTAATGATAACTGTTATATAATGTGTGTCAGTGAATAATAAGTATTATAAGAGGAGTTTCCTCCAATGTCATGGTTCTGGGAGCTGGCCATTGGATTAACAAATTTTCAGTTCTGCCTGTAAATGTTCATTTATAGCAGGGACCTAGGAGTCTATATTCATTCTGGTGAGTCCCCACTCTGTTCCCATGCTTCTTATTCCATTCTCTTTCCATCATACCATTTAACCAGAGAGTTCACCCTGGGCAAAATTTCAATGAATGACATTGATTTTTGTTGTGAAGTTTTGACAGGTAAGAAAGTATAAGATAGGCCTTTAGTGAAAGTCACACTTGATTTATAGGGCTGGGTAAGGTACTGGTTGTGAGTGAGAAAGCCAGCCATTTTGGTGGAAGTGGGGCTGGTTTTAAGAGACAAACAAAAGAGTTTTTAAAATGTACAAGGGGCTTATATATCTACTGCTGCCATTTTTGCTACTGACTCCCACATTTTAGAGATCACAAAATGGCTAGCTGATACTATGCTGGGAACTTTTTATATTTTATCACTAAATCTCATGAAGACTCTCAAGGTATGAAGTTAAAACTAATCACTTCAATAATTTGAATGAACTATTGTGAAGGAACTGGAATAGGGACTTATTGAGAGCAGAGAGCAAAGAGAAAATCCATGATCACAGCCCAAGCTTTAGATCATTCTCACTTATTTTAACTTTCAGCATGGAATTCCATAGTTAAAAATAAGTGTGCCTTCTTATAAAAATGTGTAATTAAATAATTTTTGCTTTGTCTTCCATTCACTCAAACCTCTGGCATGCATTCCAGCCCTGCCACTCACTAGCTATAGGACCCTGGACAAGTCACCTTTTTCAATCTGTTTCCTTGTATCACAAGTGGGGATACTGAAAATACCTCTCCTATGGGATGGATGTGAGATTTAAGGAGAAAATGCAATGTAAGGGCTCACTTGGCAGGAGGGCTAGCATGTAATGTCTTCCATGATTATTATTATCATTGGGATAATGTGGACTCTACTTACTCATGGGAGAAAAGGTTTGTGTGAGTGGAAAACAAGGCAATTTTGGCAGTCAGTTAATGATCTAGATTTTCAGGATAACATGTGGGAAAAATTTTAGAACCTGAATCTGTGTAATGGTGGGCCTAGAACCTGAAAAGCAACCTCGTTTCTTTCCAGGGAAGGAATTCATTCCATTTTGGAGCCAGTTTCCCAAGTTCCTTATCCCTGAGGGCTTTTAAGGCTTAAGACTTAGGTATGGGAGACGTGACAAAGGACAAGTTCCCGAGGCTGCCTGCTCTTTGAAGGCAGAGCCAAGTCTTGTTCTGTTTTTTTGTTCTGCTTCCACCACCCAGAGCAAGGTCTGGTATATGTAGGGGTTAGCTAGAAGTATGGAAGGAAGAAAGGAGGGAGGGAAGAAGGGAAGAATGGGTGGATGGATGTTTGGATTGAAGGAAGTAATTGAGGTGTCTGGGGGAGAGAGAGAGAGAGTAATAAATGAGAACTAGAGTAAAATAAAAGAGAGGAGACATAAAAGTTTACAACTTTTGCACAAGGCACCGTTATTGAAAAGCTCACTACTTATTGCTGTGCCCATATATTCTCCCTGCACACAGATCTCATTCATAGGTTTTTATAATAAATATTTTTACCACTAACCTGGATGATGCTGAGAATAAACAAAGAAGGCTTGGTCCTCCTCCCTGAGAGGGGAGTGTACAGCTTCTTATATTATTCAAGCTAGTGATCTCAGTGCCAGCTCCTTAGTAGAGGACATGGGCACCCTCACTTGGAAAGGCTGCTCCTAGAGTGAAGGCAAACATCCACAGTCAAGTCTCAGGTCTTTGTATTTACCATGGGAAGGAAGGTTTCATGAAATATTTACTTTTCTGTACCAGAACATCACTTTTAACTATTTGCTACCTTTCTATGAAACTTTTGGGTTTTTATTGTTTAAAAGGAATGTCATGATCTCATGTGGTATGACTCTAATTTTTATTTTAACCAGGATTGATCGGAAGATGTCAAGTGCTCACACCAACTACAAACTAGATGAGGCACAGGCTATAATGAGTGAGCTGCGCACCATCAAGAAAGCCATTTGTACGGGTGAGAAGGAACGGCGAGACCTGATGCAGGTAAGGCCTGGGCCACCCCCTACAGAGCCCACCTACTTGCCTGCCTGCCTACCTGTATGTTATTTATTACATATTATATATTTATTGCATATATAGTTCACATATAATATTATATGTACATATTTTAGGCACACATACACACTGTATTTAAATAAGTATATTAATTTCCTGGGGCTGTTGTAACAAAGTACAAACTTTGTGGTTTAGAGCAGTAGAAATTTGCTTTTCTAGTTGTGGAGGCCAGAAGTCAAAATCAAGGTGTCAGTTAGGCTGTGCTCCCTCTGAAGATTTGGGTGGGGTCCTTCCTTGCCTCTTCTTAGCTTTTGAGGCCCCAGGTGTTCTTGGCCTTCCTTGGCTTGTAGATACATCACTCCAATCTGTGCTTCCATTGTTATATAGCCTTCTTCCTGTGTCTCCGTGTTCAAATTTCCTCTTCCTTTCAGGACACTAGTCATTGGGCTAGGGACCACCCATCCAGTATGACCTCAACTAGATTATATCTCTAAAGACCCTGTTTCCAAATAAGGTCACTTTCACCAGTTCCAGGGGTGAACATCTTTTGGGGAAACACCATTCAATCCACAACAATGGGTAATAAATTCATGCTGTTAATAATGAAAATAATTCAAAAGTCAGTGATAAGAGGTCTTGCTATTGCCCCAACTTCTCACCTCCCATAACAACTTTTATTCTCTTCTTCCATAACCTTCCTGTATTCATGCGGATGCAAAAAAAAAAAAATGTGAATACTTGTTCAAAGGTCCTCACACAATGCTGGGACTATTATACTGTTATGCTATAGCTTCCTTATGTGATGATAACATTCTGTACTTTTCCCCTTATCTGTTCCCAACCAGCTTCTTCATTCAAGATGGTTTACATAGGGGCTGGGGTTATAACTCAGTTGGTAGAGCATTTACTTTGCATGTGTGAGGCACTGGGTTCAATCTTCAGCACGACATTAAAAAAAAACAACAAACAAATAAGTAAAATAAAGGTATTGTGTCTGTCTACAACTAAAAAATATTTTTAAAATATCTGATTTACATAGTATTTTACCATGTGGATAAATTTGAATTCTATAACTGGTATCATTGTGGTTTTATTTGATTTATGTTTTTTCCCCTTGAACTCCAATAGTTTCCATTAGTTTTCTAAAAAGTTGAGCTTTTGCAAATAGACATATGCTTGTCTTGCTTGATGCTGGAATGCATTCAATGCTTTGGGTTACAGCCTTTATTTTACACTCAACACCTAAAGGAGTACATAATGCCTGGTAGGCATTTGCCTAGATTATGTAGTATGTAAGACTCAAGGGGCATATAAGGCACTGTTCAGACTTATAGACAAAAATGAGACAGATGCATAATAGCATCCTTACTTGGCAGTGCTTCCTAAGTGTTCCACAAGTCACTTCAAGGCCCTGAGTGTCTCTTGGAGAATTCCCATGTGTTCATTAAAATGCAGTTTACCAAGCCCTGTCCCAGATCTCCAGAATTTCTAGAAATGGGACCCAGAAATCTATATGTTCAGATGACCTCTCCAGGCTATGATAGATAAATAGTCCATTCATTGTTAGATTTTTTTTTTTTTTTTGCATACTGGTAGCACTGAAGACAGCTTCAATTTACTAAAGTCTCTGTGCATACCCTATGTCCACTAACTGTATCATACTAACCAACATCCAAGGGTTAACCAGGTGATATTTCATAGCAGAAACACAGAGGATTTACCCTTTGAGGTCAAGCAGGCTACCTACCCTGACCTCTTTGAAGCCACAAGTGCACAGTATTGGGAAAAGCCACCCAGTTGCTTCACTTGGGTTCCCCACCATGGCTGCCTTCTTCAGGCAGGATACACAATTTCTGGAAGAAACTTTAGGCCTTAGTTTCTTCTTTGAGGTCTTCATAGCCTCTCCAACTCTGAGAAGCTCCAGAGAGGCCTGGGCAAAATCTTCTTTCATCAAAACCAAGTCGGTTGTTTTGTCTTTCTTATATGAACTCAATCAATGTGACTGACTCTTTCCCAAAAGCCTTTGTCTTTTTTTTTCTTTTGAGCCAGTTGTGTGAGTTTCAGTGCACTTGTGCATTCTGGTTCTGGGGTCTGCAGTGTTGCTGAAGGTGAATAGGTCCAAAAGTCTAAAAGAAATGCTAACACATCAGATTTCTCTTAAACTTCCACACAAAGGAGGTCCATGTGCCAGAATAAATACTTGTTCTAATTTTTGGCAACCTAACATCCATATGAGATTACTTTTGACCATGTAGAATTATGACTGAAAAATTATGTTGTAAAAATACATAAGCATTGTCTGGGAGCTGTTGTTATCTTCTGTGGTTAATCTATGAAAGTCTCAAGGTGGCCTGAACATTTTGGATGGGAATGCTTGTTTCTTTTTTTTTCTTTAGAAAACATGCAGGCTTAACAAACAGTAAAACTAGTACCATAGCTTTTTTCTATATGCATGTGCCTCCAGGAGGACTCAATCACTATCTGATTTAAAAAATTTAGAATTTTTTTAAAGGTGGATTCAGTGAGGAACGTTTATTTTAACTCTAATGAGAATGAAGAATAGGGTGGGATAACTCTCCAGTCATAAGGCTGCAGAACTTGAACAAAAATGAAAGGACTCCTCCTATAAGAAAAGGAATCATCATTGTCTCTACTCAAAGATCTTGTCTTGATCTCTTCCAGAGCCTGGCCAAACTTACTGATAGCTTTAAGAATAGCTGCTGTATTACCGACTCTATCCAAGATTTTTCTCACAGTGCAGGCGCACTTGGTGATTCTGGTGTCCCTCAACAGTTCTGTGATGCTGGCTCTCAGACTGATACCATGGGAGAGGTATGCTTGCTTGTGTTGTCCTCAGTCATTTGGCTTAATTTTCCATTTTCATCTCAGAAATATTTTAGATTTTGTGCCATTAGGTTTGAAGAAAAAAATAGTGCTTCTCACATCCAGCTGCAATTGTCTAGTGATGTAGGAAGCAATTGAATTGCTTGTTGCCTTGTGATTAAGATTTTAAAGTAGTAGACTCCAGATGGGTGCAGTGGCACATGTCTGTAATCCCAGCAATTTGGGAGGCAGAGGCAGGAGAATCTCAAGTTAGAGACCAGTCTCAGCAATTTATTGAGATCATGTCTCAAAATAATTTTTTTAAATAAAAAGCTGGTGATATATCTCAGTGGTAGAGTACTCCTGGATTCAATCACCAGTATCACAAAAACAAAAGAAAACAAAAATACAAATGTCAGACTCCTTGTGAGAATTGAGTTTAAATATTATCTTGATATGTGTGTGTATAAAGGAACAGATAGTAAATATTTTAGGCTTTGCAGGTCCAGCAGTCTCTGACATGATCACTCAGCTCTGTCATTAGTGAAAAAGCATCCCTAGATGATATGTGAGATAATGAGCTTCACTGTGAGTCAGTAAAGCTTTATTTACAAAAGGAGGCAGTCTGCTGGATTTGGCCAAAGGGCCATAAGTTTGCTGATCTTTAGTTTAGACCAGCAATTTCCAAAGGCTTTGTGGTTGTGCCACCTTTGGTTAGACTTTGTTGTCATTTCTTAGTCTTCTAAAAGAATGTCAGGAAATCAAATTAAAAAAAATTTATTTGAGACTTGGAAGAATGTCATCAAGTTCCCTTTGATAATTAGTAAAGTATTAAGTTAGTCACAAAAACAAAGTTGGGAGAATCATCATTTGAAGCTGACGAGTGAATATTCCAAAACACATTACTGTAAATTGAATTGAGTGAAGTTTAAAATTGATTTATTACCAAATGGAAAGCAGGTCATATTTTTATTAGGGCTTATTAAAATAGAATAGAATATACAGTGCCTCCAAATTAAATAAAAGTAAAGCAGAAAAGGAGAACACCAATTGATGGGGAAACTTTGGGTTTTAAGTAATTAGCTAATATTTTGAAAATTTGGCAAATAGTGCCTTTTTAAGGTGAGTATAATGTACATTAGGACTTTTTCTCTCCTGGATGTTCTGGAAATGTCCTATATTCAATTTTACCCTCATTATTGTCAAAGGCATACTTGGTCATTTTGAACCAGGCATCTTCTTTGGTTTAGAGAACATGCTCGCCATCTGTAACACACAGAGAAGGGTCTGAATCAAAAATGTTTGGCATTTTTGTCTCAAGATTTAGGAGTAAAGGAAGGAAGCAAGTGCAAGACTCATTGAATTCCGGGAATGATTTCTTGCTGCTTGTCATAAGGTTAGATTTAGAGTGTAGAGCTCTAAACTAGTGTGAGAGGAACAACTAAGGTCCAAGCTTCTCTAATGATTCCATCAAGCCATTCTAAACAGATCAGGTGGGGAGTAGTGCCTGGTTCCACTACTTTAGCTGTAAATTGTCATGTTTATGAGCTCCTGAAGTTTACTGGGGCTGGCCCTGGGTTGGGAGCTTCACAGCTGTTGTCTTGGTTTAACTAGTTTTTGTTAGTATTTTTATATAGGATTTTGTTACTTTCAAGTATAATTGATATGAAAATATTAAGGCACAACTACTGATCATACTTTGGGTATTTAAATTGTAACTCTAAAGTTACATCCCAATCCCTGGCTTTTTGAGACCTTGCTTTCTTTCCTTTTACCTTTGGTTCTTTTTCATAACTTGTGACCTTGAAAGGCATTCTCTAGTCCCTACCTAAGACAGCTAGTCCATCTTCAGATCTTGGAACTTTGTAGTACAATATCATTATAGTTGTCCCTCTGTATCCACCAGGGATTGGTTCCAGGACCCCCTCAGATACCAAAATCTGAGAATGCTTAAATCCATTGTATATAATGGCCTACTAGTAGCATATAATCTATACACTTCCTCTCATATACTTCAAATGATCTCTAGGTGATTTTATTATACCCAATGCAATGTAAATGCCATGCAAATAATGACAGAAAAAAAGTCCATCCATGACAGAAAAAAAGTCCATCCATGTTCAGTATAGATATGACCATAATGGGCCTAACTCTATTTTCGATCCTTGACGGTTGAATCTATGGATGTAGAACTCATAGATATGGAGGGCTGAATGTATTGTGCATTTATTGAGGAACTAGACAGTGTAATTCACAAAGTGGGATTTTTTTTGCCTTTTTGTCACCTTATGCTAAATAGTTTCCTATTTTTTTAAAGTCAATTTATTATTTTTTTAGAATTATACAATAGATGGATATATACTTACCCTGTTTTAAAAAAATAAACAAAACATCAAAATACAAGTTTTGGGAAAACAAAAGTCTCCACAGCCTGAATCTTAAACCTCACCAGCCAGAGGTGGCAGCAGAATATTATTTGAAGTGTTTCATTCTATGCCTTTGAAAAATTGGAATTGAAAGACAAATTAAAAAAATATTTTTCATTGTTGCTGAAATTTTAAGTGAATTTTCTGGTTTGAAAATATGTTTTTATTATGTGTTTCTCTTTTTGTTTTTCTTTTCCTCTTGTGTTCCGGAAAGTTTGTCTTTGATGACAAAACAAGACTTGTAGACCGAGTCAGACTTAATTGGCAATATGAGGAAGCCCGAAAGAGGTAAGAAGCACACTTTTTCAATCTTGTCTTCTGTTCACTTATTTCCCACAGAAAAAAGGCTTAACACAGTTCCACATTTTATCTGATGGAACACAAAAATAAAGAATCTTTGTTGTTAATGTAGCTTCTTAATACACATGGCAAAGTTTCAAGTGCACTTAAAATGTGAAATTCTCAGTATTACAAACAGTTATAAAGATGTGATTCAATAAGAATAGAGATCTTCCAGTTTTCTTGTTTTTCATATCCAGATGTGGTGGTTCAGGAGTGTAGAATACAATTGAATTGCTTATTGCTTTGTGATTAGGATTCTTAAAATGGTAGCCTCCTTCTGAGAATTGAGTTTTAATGTTCTCTGGATACATATGACTTTCGAGGGCATGGGTCTAAGTACTATACCAGGTAGTTAAGAACTCCTTTCCCTCTGTCCCTCCCATAGACAGCATCAGTTCCTCAAACCAGCGTAAGCAAAACCATCCTCTGTTTCATACAGGTGCCTTCTGATGCCATAGACTGATGAAAAAAGCCACATATTCAAGTTTAAAAGATGTTTGAGTAAGCACTGGGTCAGCAGATGATAGCAGTGCCTACTTGCTCTCATTTTATTTGGAGAGAAGTGACATTTATGTTGACCTGCATTGTAACTCATCTGCCTTCTGGAAATTGAGATTCATCCAGGTCTATGCATTGGGTTTCTCTTTCCTCACCTCTTTCCCTCCCAGTATATACCATAGGACATGGGCAAATCTGCAAGGGCAAATTCAAAATCTTCACCTCAATGCAAAATTTTTGATGCAGTATTTTTAGCATGGCATGTTTCTCCTCAGGTGTTCAGCATCCCCATTTTCAAGGTTCTGATTCTGCCTTAGCTTTTCTGTCTTCTTTTAAAAGATTTCTTAGTCATAAATGATATATCTTATCATGGTCAGGAGAGGAGCAGAATGCCAGGTGGGGTGAATGAGTCCTTCCAGAAGCTAAAAAGTTGGGCTTGCTCAGTATACTGTACAGTTCATGGAAGTCCGTAAATCTACTTTGTTGGCTTTTATAAAATGCAAAAATAGTAAACCATCTGTAAAAGTAAACCATCTGACTCCATGCCACAGAGCCTGCAATTACCATGGCCCTTCTGCTTTCTAGGAGATGTTCCACCCAATTCTTCCTGGCTTTTTAGGGAGTATTTGTGATGGGCTTTAAATGTCCTCATAGAGTACCACCAAGTTCATTTACCAATACTGGTTACCTTCATGGTTACATGCTTCATCCCTCATGTGTTCCTTTTCTGTTGTTTGTGGGTGCTTATGAGGGGTGATTGTCTTTTCTGACTATTCCTCATCTCCTTCCTCCTATTTCTAAATGGAATTGCAAAATGTGGGTGCTGGAATTTGCTGTGCTGTATTAAATACAGAAACTAGATCATTGCTACACTTAGAAGCAAATTGTTATGTGTGTTGCTGTGACATTTACCAAATATAGCAAGTGATTTCTTTGTCTTCTAGAACTGGTGTCAAGATATTGTAAGTAACCTTTTAAATGTCACAATACATTTGGTGAAAAATGTATTTGGGAAGTTACTGCACTTCATCATTACTTTAATACAAATAATACAAAAATATTATTTAAAGATTGCTAGAACCTTGTTAGGAAGTGCATTGCAGTTACAAGTGAGGGTCCTAGTTCAGGTATTTTAACCTTAGTAACCCAGTAGGGGTTTTGAGAAATTCTTTTTATGGCCTACATTAGAATATTTAAAAATCAGAGATGTGGTTTAAACTTGTCCTGGGTTGGCTTGCCCAGTTGCTAACTATCCTTTTCTCACTAGTACACTGGTCTTCAACATAAGGAATAGACTCTTTAGCTCTCAGGAGATTTCTGGCAATATCTGGAGCCATGTTTAGTTGTCACATCTCTAGGGCAGATACTACTGGCCTCAGGTCTTCAGAGCCCAGAGATGCTGCTCAACATCCCTCAATGCACAGACTAGGTACAACAGCAAGGACTTATCTGGCTCATCATGTCAGAAAGTGAGAAAAAGTTCAATAAAAGACCTGATGAGGATTACATTGGCTAGAGGGATAAAATCAAGAATCTAAGAGAGGATGGCTGGAGACAAGAGGGGAAAAGTGTAGGAAGTAAACCTTGGAAAACACTTACCTCCAAGGGTCCAAGAGCAAAGGAGGAGCACCTAGCAAAGGATTCCAGGAAGAGAGCAGTGGAGAAGTCAAATCAGTTGGCCAGCAGACCTCTGCCATCCCAAGGCATCCTGATCTACAGAGTCAAGGGGAGAAGGAAAGCAATGGCAGGTTTTCATAAAAAAAAAAAAAAAATTGGCAGTCCTAAGTTAGCCCCTCCCACCTCCTTTCTTAAATTTTCCCAGCCTGTGGGAGATGTCACAAAGATGGTGCTCTCTGCTGGATTTAAAGGAGGAGAAAGATAGAAACTTCTGAAGAGTTTCCAGGGTCCAGCATTATGGAGGAAGATCATTTAGATGGGAGATTTTGATGGTTGACAATGAGTTGGTAGCTTCAGTGGGCTTCAAGCAGCTTAGAACTATACTCAAAGTGTTCTTGTCAGTAGAATTTGCCTTAGCCAGTTGATTACAATTCATTGGTTCCAGCCCTTCCAGGTTCTGCTTCCCTTTCTAGTTCCCTTGGAGACATCATAGTCTGCCTCCAGTCATTGCAAGTTAATTCTTGTAGTTAAGGCTTGACTGGTAACCACTGTGTGCCTGAGTTATACACTACTCTTCTATGGATCATGTGATCCCCAGTGGCACTAGCAAGGCTCTGAACTCCCTATACCTTTTAACATTGTCAAGCAGCTCTTCCCTATTTCCTCCCCAGTAGACAAGTTGAAAGTTAGGGACAGTTAAGGTCATCAGGTCTCACCTTGCCCTAGATCATTGATTTTACTACAACTACTCTGAGTATTTATTTATTTATTTATGAGTCAAAGCCTGATGGCTTTGAAGTCTTGTCTATGGGATTTTCACACAGTGCCCTTGATCAGACTGCAACACATCCCTGATATCCCCATGAACTTCACTGGAGAAAAGGTGTCCATATACAGGAAAGCACATGTTCACCTGTTCACCCACCAATACATGAAAATTAATGTATTGATTTTAGTGTCTGTGTTAGCAATGAAAAATATGTCCTTCCCTCATTATTTACCCTGAGGTTACTGAGCATTATGGGCCCTTTTATCTTGCTCAAGTGGACTTCCATTATTTTGGTGCCACAATTCAGTGTTTGGTTGTATTCCTTATGTCACCTCACCCTTGGCCATCAGTCTCCAAGCTTTCATTTCTGAAATTATTCAATCCTGCAAATCTTAGCCCCCCTGCTGATTATCCAGAGAAATAAAACCAAATGGGGCAAGGAGATTGATTTATAGGAATTGACTCATGTGATTAAGGAGGCTGAGAAGTCTGCAAAGTAGACTTTGCAAAGCAGAGAACCAGGAAAGCTAGTGGCTTTCCTGAAGCCTGAGAACCAGTGTTTGGTAGTGATGATGTTGGGGTAGTTTTAGCATAAGTCTTAGAATCCAAAGGCCCATGAACCAAGAGCCCCAATGTCTGAAGGCAGGAAAAAGTGGATGCCCCAACTCAAGAAGAGAAAGCAAGTTTGCGTTTTCTCTCTGATTCTTATTTTATCTGGGCTCTCAGTGAATTGGATAATGCCCACCCACATTGGTAAGAGTGTGTCTTCTTTACTCAGTGTACTGACTCAAATGCTAATCTTTTCCAGAAACATCCCTATAGACACACCCATAAAAACTATTTTGCCAGATATCTGGGCATCTTCTAGCCCAGTCAAGCTGACACATACAATTAATCATTACACCTTTCTCTGCAGAACCACCTGTGCTTTGCCAATTCTAAAAAGTGGAGATGTTTATGCCTTTATGACCTGGAGAAGTCTTTCCTTGGATATCTAAATTTGAGATTGTTTTTAAGAAGTACAAAATCTTCAAAATGCAGAGTACTGAACAATGCATTCGGATTTAAAGGAAGTTTGTGGAAGTGGAATTTACAATTCTAAGTGATAGTATGATTTCTAGAGAATTCCTTAACTAAACTACTACTGTCATGGTGACCAAATTTTGTGTTTTCAACTCTGGATCATGTAAAATGTACCAAAAGAACTGTTTCTTCCATCTCTTCATGAACATCTCTTTGGATACTCAAGTCAGATATTATGCTAGGAATATTTTCACATTACCGGTTGAAAATTTTTAGAGTTTTTAAAAGTGAAGTTGGAAGAATATGTCTTCTTGAAGCAGTCCTGATGACACAGATGACTTCTTATTTTTAAATTAAGAGTACTTGTTCTAGAACTGTGCACAAACTCTAGCTGTTTCCATAGAAACACTAAGTTCAGATAGGAACAATACATTTGGTCCAACCAGTTTCTCTGTGTATTAATTTTTGTTGCCAGGATCAGTTCTGCTGTATGTGATTGTCAGGAATCAGTGGCATTATGATTCCAGTTAAATTTGATCCATCACTTGGATTTTACTTTTATTTCGCAAGTAACTTTGTATCTGGGTTTGGGGGAATGAGGTACAGCTTTGAGGAAAGAAGAAAAGCATCTTTGCCACTGCAGTCTATCTTTCCCATTTGGGTCAAGATAAAGAAACCTGAAGACTTTCTGATATATATATTTTTTAATTTTAGGAAGTTGCTTTCAGAAGATCTTGCTTTCCAAGGGGAGAAGCTGTTAGAGCAGGGAAGGTGAGGACAGGGCTGGATTTTGGTGTATTAGTAGAACATTCTTGCACCATATGTTCTAGATGCAGAATTGTCGAATTTTCCACATAGAATTAAGTGGAAGCCAGGCACCGTGGCACATGTCTGTAATCCCAGCAGCTTGAGAGGCTGAGACAGGAGGATTTTGAGTTCAAATCCAGCCTCAGAAACTTAGAGAGGCCCTAAGCAACTTAGGGAGACCCTTTTTCTAAATAAAATATAACAAGGGCTGGGGATGTGGATTAGTGGTTAAGTGGTTTAATCCCTCGTACCAAAAACAAAACAAAAAAAGTGGAATGGACACTGATTTATCAATACTTCGTTCAGTCAACTGAAGTGATTTCATCTTACATCTAACTTAGATCTCAGCTGAGGTTTTCTTTAACCTTTGCTTTCATTTAGATATTTACAAAAAGAAAGCTAAGAGAAAAATGTAAGAAGTATTGAATATGTAGTTACAATTAAATCTGAAGGCATGATGCTCTAAATTGACACCATGTCATGGAATGTGGGATTAGGATCCATCATAACTCATCACCATCAAATGGAATTGTGGGTTGCCTAGAGTTCTGTTTGCTATTCCAGAAAGCAGCAGGATTTTAGAAAGATGAGAAATTATACAGTAGACTGCAGGTTTTAGGTATTCACATAATTGGAGATTGATTACTCTTGATATGCCTCAAAACTTCTTAATATTAGAAGTGGGGGCTGAAATTGTGGTTCAGTGGTAGAGCACTTGCCTGGCATGTGTGAGGCACTGAGTTCAATTCTCAGCACTGCATATAAATTAAAAAAATAAAGGTCCATCAACAATTAATAAAAATATTTTTAAAAAATATTAAGTGAGGGGCTGGGGTTATGTGGCTCAGCAGTCGAGCACTCACCTAGCACGTGAGAGACCCTGTGTTCAATCTTTAGCACCACATAAAAATAAATTTTTTAAAAAAGTTATTGTGTTCAACTACAACTAAAAAATAATTTAAAAAAAAAATATTAAGTGTATTTTTCCTAGAAAAATGCAGATCCTTTTAAGATTTTCATGTGAATTGTGAAGGTCTGAGTCATTTCTGCAGCATAAATGCAGGTTTCTATTCACGATTTAATGTTCTAGGTTTGTAACAGACAAGGTGTTCGGGCAGAAATTGTAAGGGGAAAATTATTTATATTTAGAACTGTTTATGGAATAGAAATTGGAAAACACATAATAAATATGAAATCTGATTGCTTAATTGAAGATTTTACTTTTATTTCTTCACTATCAGGGCATGGGGACATATATTTTAAAGCTTTTAAAGGCATTTGTGACAGATTATATGTGGGCCATAAAACGTATTACCCATAAAAAATGAGAATCAATAAAACAGGTAGTTGACTTGTAGGGAAAAAAAGAAAAAAATCCTTGCCAATTTTAAGTGGCTCTCAGTTCTCTTTAAAAATGAACTTGGAAAAGTTTTTTTTTCTGCAAACCTTAATGATGACCTTGCTTTTCTTCCATGTATTTAATTTCACTAAAATGATATTTCAAAGAAAAGCCTTTCTGGAAATTGCTTTTCCTTTAATACCCAGAATAGGAATGATGGCCCTCACAGGAATAGGGTTCCAACCAGTTGCTCAGCTGTTTGGCATGGATAAAGAGAAGGTGCATCGAACCTCAATACATCTGTGTTTAGTCTTAGGCAGGAAGTCTGTTTCTTCAAGTAAACCTAACATGCTAAAGATACTCCCTGTGGATGACTGGCTCTATTCCAGGCCAGCAGCATGGTAGACAAGGCACACTGTTTTAAAGGCACAGCCATTTTGTCTTCCCCCATGGAGAATATGTGAGTGATCAGTTGTTGAAGAAATCATTCTAGTGCTTTTGACTTTCAGAACAGACAGACAGATGTGCCTCTCTTGACCTGGCTGAAGTGGACCCCAAATGTCTACGCCCAGAGTTTGGATATAAGGAAGGAAATTGTAGTTTTCAATATATGCCAATATTCTTCTAGATTCATAGCTCAAATATAAACGTAACCATTTGCATTGTTGTGAAATTTTATTTTAAAAGCACAGTTCTCAAGCAAAGAAATGTTTGCCTATGTTCAGCATAGCCCAAATAACTTTTCCAGATGGATTGCAAGAAATCAGCCTCATCCGGATTTGTTTCTGCTGAAGAGGTCGTCCCTCCCCATATGTCTTTGCATATATTTCCTGCAAGCTGTGGAAAGTTACAGTTTGGCTGCTGTACTATTTCTTTATGCCCACAGTAGACAAGCCTCTTGAAAGTTGCCCTTTGCTTCTCCTCCCTCCTATAGTTCATTTTCCTCCTCATTTTTTTCAGATAACTTGAGATTTTCCTGGAAAGGTTATGATTATCTGAGACTGAATCTTCTGCCACCCTCAGCAACTTAAATTCTTTTAGATAGCAGCTAACCGAGAGCTGGTAGACTCAAATGGCATCTTGAGCTCCTTACAAACCTCAGGAAACTTGAACTGGGGATTCAACTCAGTGATAGAACACTTGCTTGCCTAGCATGCATGAGGCCCTGGGTTCCATCCCCAATACTGCAAAAAAAAAAAAAAAAAAAAAAGAATAGAAAAAAAACCCCTACAACAAAACACCTCATAAAAGTCAAAAGGAGTGTTTTGAAAATGTCTGTTTATATTATATGTATGATACTTAGATCTGGCAGGCTTTAGCTAGGCTCAAATAGGCTTTCCTATGGATCAGATAAATTGAAATGAAAAAAACTATGGGGACACAGTAGATTTTCTCATTGTTCTCCAAATCAGTTATATTTATTTTTGACTTGTCTACAGTAGAATGTTCCAGAAATTTCATTTGGTGTGTCTCATATGAGTCTGATTGGAGTGTATATTCCCTGGGCTTCAGTTATATGACTGTCATAAATTTTAATTACTCTAATTAGACATAGGTGGATGCTTAAGCCCAGTTTTATTTTTAACCCTGTTGGGCTGCCTCTGTCATCATTTTTTTTCAGTGACATGATTTGTTATCATTTTTCAACACATTTTTCAGGAAATTAGTTTTAAGTTAGAAAAATTGTCTAAGGAAGCTACTGACACTCAACTAGTTTCTTTACCTTCTTGGAGAAATGGGCTTGAGTTAGATGTATGTGTTTAAGCCCTAACCTGTATACCCTTTCCTTTCCATGTTTGGATTGATTTGGTACCTGGAGAAAGAGCATCATGTATGATCCTCCAGCCAGGCAGATGGGTCCTTATGCTCATGTCTAGATCATGCAAAGCCTGACCTGGCATAGTACTTGACAATGAGTTTTAGTGTATGGGCCAACTTCAGTCAATTGGTTGTATCTGTGTGGAATGTGGTGTTGAGAAGGACTCTGAGGGCTGGGCCCAACAGGTAGGATGCCATATTTGGTTAGTGCTGTGCTACCTGGGCACAGGAGGTAAGTAGTCTTGGCAATGCTCTTGCCCCATGTCTGCCATTCCAAGTTTAGTGAGGATGATCCCATCAGTGCCTAATGCAAATGCTTAAAACAGGCCAGTTAGCAACCCCCAGACGAGGCAGGGCTGCAGAGGAGGCAGCTTTGTCTTGGAGCAGTGGGTGTCCACCTTGAGCAAGCATCAAAAACACCTGGAGGGCTTGACAGACCCCAGATTGGCAGGACCCATTCCCAAAGTGTCAGATTCTGCATGTGGGGCTGGGTTCTGAGATTTGCATTGGTAATAAGTTCCCAGGAAATTCTGAAGCTGCTGGTCCTGGGACCCCACTTTGAGAATTGCTGCCTCAGAGATATATGTACCTGCCACTTAATTGTTTTCACAGTACTCTCTCATCTTAAAGAAGTCTTTGCATGTTTTTAGGCATGTGTACCAAACTCGATCCTCCAAATCATTGGGTTCAGGTTGGGTCTGGCATAACTAGTTTCTGCCTGGAAACAGGCAGCCTTACTTGAGGGGCTTAAAACATACTACTATTTTAAAGGGTGATTTAAAAATATGAGCTATGTCTGTTTCACTTAATCAGCATTAGACACCACTGCAGGACACAAAATATGATGCAATCTATTTGCCAGGCAAGCACTGAAGATTCAAGGGCATGGAAAGTGACAAGATTCTCTGTTTTTATACCCTAAGGATTGTCACACTGACACCTTTGGTGAGATTGACTGGTTTGCATCTAGCCAGATGATCACATGCCAACTTCTACATTCATGGGGATGCCTCTCATTCTCTCATATATTTGCTGGCATGCTTGCCCACTGTTTAATGCTTGAGCTTCTCTCAGCAGGGTGTTGTGTGTTCACATCTGGTTCAGGTCTCAGGTGCAGGAAGTAGCACATACAACCAGCATATGTGGGCATGGGTTTTGGCTGTTCTCTCTTATATTTTGTTTGTTTTGTTTTATGACCCCCAATGGATATTAGTGCTTAAGCATGGCCAATGAGAAAGAAAGCCAGAAGCTTCTCTCAGTATCCAGCCTAGTGTTCAGCTACCGATGATAGTGGGGTGGGGAGAAGTGAGCAGCTTTCCTCGACTCTGGGACATCATCTTGCAGGAACCAGGAATCTGGGGAAAAAAACTAGTGTGGTCATGATGAAGACTGGTGGACTTTTTGTCAACTGTTTGAAGCAAGTATGAATCTTGGACAGGGTAGATTATACAAAGGACTTTTGCATTATTTTTATGACCCATCATTTCCAGACACTCTTAAGTTTAAGGTTGGTGGCATTACTTTACTATTTATTTAGCAAAGTGAGTTTACAGAATCAGTGATGGTGCAGAGAATGTATAAAGGTGATTTTTTTAAGTTCATTGACATCTTCCTGGGCCCCCCTCTCTCAGGGTCGCAAACATTCAGCAGCAGCTGGCCCAGCTTGCTAATGAGTCATGGCCAGGCATGGCTGAGGCCGACAGGGACCGGCTGCAGCTCATCAAAGAGAAGGAGGCCCTGCTTCAAGAGCTGCAGCTCATCATTCAGCAGCGGAGGTCGGCTGAAGATGTGGCCAGGCTGGAGGAGGAGAAGAGACGCTTGGAAGAAGAGATCCAGCGTGCGCGGGCCACATCTGCACAAGGAGCAACAGAAAGGTGGGCTGGTCTCCAGAAGTTCAGGGGCAGGTGGGACCAGATTCCAGTGAAGAACCAACTGGAAAATCTTAATTAGATAACATATATATGGCTTCAGCATGTTCTTGATTAGTACAGGCTGAGTATCCCTTATCCAAAATGCTTGAGCACAAAAATGTTTCCCATTTTGAAGTTTTTCAGATTTTGGAATATTTGCATAGACTGTACTGGTTGACCATCCCTCATTTGAAAGTCTAAAATCTGAAGTGCTTCAAAATCTGAAACTATTTGAGCATCAAGTATTTGAAAAGAGTTTGGGAGTTTGGAGAATTTTGGATTTTCAGATTAGGGATGCTCAACCTATACTGAGAGCAGCTACTGAGGCATTTCCTTGCTAAGTCAAGGGGAAATGGGACCTTGTGCTTTCCATGTCATGAGAGGTAGCAGCTTTCCCCAAGGCTCCCTGAGCCCCTTAGAAATGGGAGATAATGGAGAAACGGGAAGACAGGTGATGCAGCACCTACATGGACCCCTTCCTGGAGTAGGTTCCCCGTGCTTTCACCTGTATTTGTGGGACAGTACCCTGTGCTGGCTTGGGGCACCAGCAGGAAGATGGGGAGACAGATGGTGGTATAGCTTTGGAATAAAGTGGCTCTCTTGCTCCAGAGAACTGGCCCCTATAGCACTGTGGAAGTCTACCTACTGCTTTTATCTCTGATTTCTGGCCAAGGCAGCCTGCTCTTTCTTTTTTAGTAGGAAGTCAACAGCCTATCATGGGTCTATTTCTAACCATACCTTTCCTAGGTTGGTCTTGAGACTCTTTCAAGCATAGGACACATGAAACCAGAGTCTTTTGTATTCTTCAGTGCCAAGTTGTTTGGCCTTTCATCATATGCCATGTCTTCTGGTTTCCATTTGCTGCCTGCAATCACAGATTGTGTTGAAGGCTTGGTCTGCTTTCCACATTTAACAGCTGTCCACAGTTTATCTGTGGCTATCTGCTGAGTTTTGGAAAGCCCATCCCCCAATTGTTAATATACTAACTCCCTAAAACTCAGTGTATTAACATGACCTTTTTCTGTATTGCTATGAGCATGAGCATTCTCTACCTAGAGTTTAAGTCACTTAAATTATTTGATCTGTTCAGATGCACCCACAACTAATATTTTATCACATCTTATGACTGTTCTTTGTATGTGTTGGGCAATCTTTATGCTTGATTCTCATTATTAATCTTTTGGATACATGAGTGTGCATTATGGTATTCAGGACCCATGGCAGCATTGAAAAGAAGGAATGGTGTTTGGGAAGTTCAACTCCTGGTAACAGGCAGAGAGAATTTTGATCTGCCTGAGATGATGGCACCCTATATCATCCCACTCAAACTGAGTTGGGTCTGAATCTTAAAAGGAGCAAGGCAACTGAAGTTTTCTTCTGTGCTGCTGTGTTTCTGCACATTTTTTAGTTAAACACTGTCTTCTATTTTACCCTTGGTATTCTCCTATGTGTGTTCTGGATAGAAGAGCCTGGCGTACTTGTTCATTCTTGACTAAGGATGGTAGATTTGGTCCCACAGTGCTTCCTGATTCCCAGGAAGCCCACCCATGCACCCTTGACTGTGGAAATTCGGCATGTGTGAGTGCTGCAGTCCCAGAGTACAAATTCCTGGAATTCCCTAGAGTCAGTGTTACCCTGATGCCTCAAGGGCTGCAACATCCAAACTGGACCAGCTTTCACCCAGATGGCAGTTTCTTGTGGGACCAGGCTGGGTGTTAAGTTCTGGGACTCAGAACCCTCAACTGGAACTGAATTGACCTAAGGGCATGACCTTGGCTAAAGAAGAACATACACATGTGCTGAGCTCTTTCCTCCCATGTGCTTTGTCTATTCTGTCCACTGCATTGTAAGATGAGGTCAATGCCCCAAGAGAGCTGCTGCTGCTCTTTGATATTTTGTGCCGAGTGGATGCAGACACATTTCTCAGTGTTGCCTCCTTTTATTGAGCTGTGCTTGAAGACTGGAAGTGTGGGACCCATGCTGGGAGACTTCCTCTAGCACAGACTGAGGGGCAGTAGAAGGAGACCCAGTATGGATCTGGGCACAAGGAACCAAGGTTTGTGTTTTAAGGCTGAGTTGTGGTAGCTGTATGACTGGGGCCTGGCTTTTGCCTTGTCTCAGCTACAGTGTCATCAGTATAGAGAGTTCCAAGTTATAGCTTGAAAGCCCAGTGAGGGGCATAATTTAAACTTCCCCTTTTTGACTCTTCACTCTCTACATCTTCTGAAAAAAGAAATTAAAGATGGTTTTTTGAAGTTATTTCCTTTGCTAAGCCTTAGGTAGGAATTTAAGTGTAACATTACATATGGAAAATCTTTCATGAGTAAAGGAATTCTCTCTTTCTTGCCATACATAACAACAGAATTGAATGATAGGAAGTAGGGGCAGTGCAGAGTCTCAGTAAAGTGCCTTGACTTAGGTTCAAGCTGACTTGACCAAACCTTGAACTTGCATAGCACAGGCAAATTACTTTCACTCCTTGAGTATCAGTTTCCTCATCTGTAAAATGGGAATAGGATCAAGTGAGCAGTCAATGAGATACAACATATGACATATAATATGGTCTTTCTGTACTTGGCCTTGCTTCTCTTGATATGACCAGCATTATTATAAGTGCTCAAGAACCTTGTGCTTTCTTATGTGCTCATATATCTCTTTTGGCATAACATGAAAAATATACCCAGTAGAATGTCAGCATTACTTTTTAAAAGTTATTTTTGTTTGTAAAAGTAATAAATTGAAATGTCCTTCTTAAAAATTAAAAATTTTAGACAAGCAAAATTCTTTTTTAAACATTACAACTGGAAGAGTTTATTATAGCTGTTTTCAAACTTTTGGGTTCCAGGACCTCCTTCTACTGTTAAAATTACTAAGGATCCCAATGAACTTTTGTTAAAAGAATTATTCTAAATCAGTCGATATTTACTGCTTTAGAAATTAGAATTGTGAAAATTTTAAATATAATAACAATTTTTATGCATAAATAGCATTTTGAGAATTTTTCGAAACAGAGTGAGAAGTATTATATTTATTCTATATTTCTGTAAACGTCTTCAGCATCTGGCTTTCCAGAAGGCAGCTGCTCAGGCATGTGATCTGTTATCATATATCACTTGTGGTGAGCATATGAAGATCTGACTGCACATGGATATATAGTTAGGAAAGAGGGGAACTCAGAATCCCTGATGGATTCTTGGGGATACCCTGGGATCTGTGGACCACACTTTAAAACCATTGGCTTGAATTTATGCTATTCAGCTTTAAAATTGGTTTTATAGTGGCTCTAGTTATTAAGGTATTTGATTGAGTAAGAAATGTTGTAGCCCATGTCAATCAATGGAGCTTGACATTGTTTTTGCCTAAAAAAGGGCCTAGAATGAGGAAATTGAATTTGTTCTAAGGAATTCTAGTAGATTAACACATGATCTGCCTTTGGGCCAGTTCTACTCTAGTCTCCCTTCCGTCTGTTCTTCTACCCACCCATCCTCCTATCCATCCACTTACCCCTTCCATTCTTCATATGACCATCCATGCTCTGACCTGCCTATCCACCTATCCACCCACCCACTCATCTACTTACCCATTTATCTACCCATCTATGCTCCCACTCATTTTCCTGTTCATCTGCTGCCCTGTCCACATACAGATCAAGTGTCTGCAATGTATCAGGCACTGCTCAGAGTGTCAGGGATGTATTTTTCCAACAAACCCCAAACAGATTTTATTGTCTTGGCATTTAAGACCTAGATACTTTTAGAACTGATAGTCATTCCAATGTAACTCACTTGTGGGGAATTTTATAGTTGAATTTCTTGTTATAAAAATATACTTCCTATTTTTCAAATCCTCCAATAGACTATTTTCTTACCTGCAGGATTCTACTTCAAGAAAAAAGAAATTGTCTACTTATGCAGCTGGAAGAAGCTACACGCTTAACATCTTATCTCCAGTCCCAGTTAAAAAGGTAGGTTCCTTTAGAAGAGAAAACTTAATTATCGTGTTACAGTGACATGTACATGAACTTTATTAATTCCCATTAGCTTGTATTTTTCTCCTATTGAAGTTTAGAACCTGAAGTGGTGTCAAAGAGAATAGAGATGTAGATAGATATGTTATATTTTTAAGATAATCTGCTAACATATGACTCGAGGGAAATGAGTAAAAATTTGGCTTCATAATAAATAACAAGTCTGATGTCAAGTTTATTGAAGCCTTTTGTAATCTAACAGCTTTAGAAGTGTTCATATATGCACATAGACATTTTTATTTTGGGAGTTTTTAAAAACGATATAATTTTTTTTTTGGTACTAGGAATTGAACCCAGAGGCACTTTACCATTAAGCTACATCCCCAGCCCTTTTTATTTTGAGACAGGGTATTGATAGGTTGCTTAGGGCCTTGCTATGTTCTCAGGCTGGCTTCAAAATTGCGAACCTCTTGCCTCACCCTCTGGAGTTGCTGAGATTACAGGCATGCCCTGCTGCACCTGATGGATATGAATATTTTAAATATTCATATTTAAATATTTGGATGCTCAAAATAACCACCTTTTCAAGCACATACTGTATTGTGAGGCATAATGTTAAGAACTTTATTTGAATTACTTTCTTAGTTATTCCTCCTAACAGTGTCATGAGATAGGACCTGTGACTGCCTCAACCCCAGCCAGCAAGTGGGAGGCTCAAAGAGGTTCAGTAACTTAGCGTGCAGCCAGCTAGTGACTGTGGGCGAGGACTCCAACTCAGGCATGAGTCTTTGTTGTTGCTCACTGCCCTCTAGTGTCATTCAAAAGAACAAAGGAGGTATCAATGAAAGTCTGCTCAAATACTCCCAGGGGTTAGGGGTAGGCTGGGATTCGCTGTTCCCAGGTGCAGCAGCCTAGTTGTGCTGCTTGGCAGTGGGAACAGCTATGTGCGTCTCTAAGATAGTTTCTCTCTCCTTTCAGCCTGTCTGCCAGCACCCTGACAGTGTCCTCTGGGAGCAGCCGCGGGTCCCTGGCCTCCAGCCGGGGATCACTGGCCTCCAGCCGCGGTTCGCTGAGCTCAGTCAGCTTCACCGACATCTACGGCCTTCCTCAGTACGAGAAGGCCGATGCTGAGTGCGGCCAGCTTCTACGCTTCGATCTGATTCCTTTTGACTCCCTGGGACGTGATGTCCCCTTCTCAGACCCTCCAGGCCACCCGGGCTTCCACAAGCAGAGGCGGTCCCTGGACACGCCCCAGTCGCTGGCATCACTGTCCTCCCGCTCTTCCCTGTCCTCTCTGTCACCCCCCAGCTCGCCCCTGGACACACCTTTTCTCCCGGCCTCGCGGGACTCTCCTCTGGCGCAGTTAGCGGATGGTTTTGAAGTGCCAGGCCTGGGTGCCCTAGACAGACTGCGAGCACAGGCCTCTGCTTTGGGGGATGAAGATTTGCAGGGCACTGCATTACTTCAACCACACGGATTCTCTGGGGATGGGGAAGGACCTCGTGAGCGTGGACCCCAACTGGCTGGGGCTCCCACCAATGCAAGTAAGTGGTGATGCTTCTCCTGAGAAGCAAAATTAGAAACTCAGGGATGATATTGCAGTGACTGGTGGCTTTTAAGTCCCCGGTGAGCTATAAGTTTACAAACATTGATAGGGTTAGAAGGGTACAGACCTGCTGTAGGGAAAGATAATTAACATTGACAAAGTAGTCTTTGCCAGGTATTTGGCTTGTTTTAAGAATATATTTAATTGTTGAAAATAAGGGTCAGAACCACACAGTCTCACACATTTGGAAGTGAATAGAGAGGTACCAAGACCTCAATGAGTTCTGCAGCACATGTGCCAAGGTAGAGCATGCGGTGTGTGAGCCCACTTCAACCAGTGTGTGAACTAGTGTCTTGTAGTCTAGTGGGAAGCCTACTTCCTTTGTCACTTTGACTTCATCTCTTTATCCTAGTTCTCATAGTATTCAAGGATGAAATTGTTTCAATTGTGGAAATGAAAATAATTGCATAATTTCAAAGACATGTTAGTAAGCATTCAGTCTTTTCCACCAATTCTATTTTCTGGTGATCTAGCTAGGTAAAGCTTCATCTGCCCAGTTGTGTTAGTTTGACTCCTCTTTGGTGCCAGGGTGCTATTGAGGACAATATTGATCCCATGTGCTTTTTAAAGCCAAGCCCCAGCATCTTTAATTTCCTTAGGTTTTAAGCAGGATTAAGAACAAGTTTTTCTATTCCTGAAGTTCAGCTAATTTTATAACGTTTTACTTACATTTAACTTTTAATTTCTTATCCTGATTTCTTTAGATTTCCTTTTCACTCTGTGGCACAGATATTTTAGATATCCATTTAGGCAAACACCAGACAATTCATATAACATAGTGGATCTCAATCAGGGTATTTTTGCCCCCTTCCCTGGGGGACAATTGGTAAAATCCCTGTGGGAGAAATTCTTGGTGGAGGCTTCTATTGCCATCTAGTGGATAGAGGTAGGGGTGCTGCTAAAAAATCCTACTGCATGCAGGGATGCATCCAGAGACAATAATCCAACCCAAACTGTCAGTAGTGCAGAGGCTGAGAAACCCTAGAAATGTACTATTGAGTGTTTATGCAACAAGGGGGAGAAATAAAACTAGAATACAAAATTCATGAGGTGTAGTGGAAACAGCTTCAGACTTGCAAACTGGAGACCAGGATTCTGTTCATTTTGTTCCTTGCCCTGTTGACTGCTAGCTGTGTGACCATGAGCTGTCTGTCTCACCTTCCTTGCCCTTGAAGGAGGTGATCTTTATGCTCTCTTCCATTTGCTACCATTCTGTTACTTATGAGACTGATTGATTGATAGATGGAAAGGTTGATTGATCTTTAGATCTAGCTATAAAATAGTAGCCTCCTGGCATTTATATATTTAACCAGAATTCAAGCTGCTCCATGACGTTTTTGGCATTTCAGTTATTTTGGTGTCTTCCCCTCTGTGTTTGAATACACACTTTTTTAAATCCCCACATATATTGTTTTTGTAATTCACATATACAAGTAACCTTCATCCCCTTTGTTCTTCTTTACAGCCCTACCAATTTCTCTTTAAAGTTTGAGATTCAAGACTATCAGTCTGTTTATACAGAAAATCCACACAAGATCTAAGGGCCCCTTTGGGCCATGGAAAAGATAGGATGTGGGTGGGGGGAGAGGCGGCAGGGGGAAGGGGGAGCAGACTTAATTTCTTATCCTAGTTTCTTTGTTTTCCTTCCCACTCTGGCATACTTTGTAATGGTGTCATTTTAGACTGGGAAGTGTTTGCTTTTCTACATTTATATACTGCCACCTGGTGATGGATTTGTGCACTGTCAGTTGACGTGTCCTTAGAAAACTGAAATAATTGACTGAGTTAGTTAATGGGTACTGCTGCATGCTCCTAGATGTCTAGGTTGGGTAATTAGTTTCAGGTATGTACCCAGGGGGCCTCCTTGCCTCCCTTGATGCTTTTGGAACTCCTGAGCACATGGTTGTCATAGTTTCATAATTATGGAGCTTGGTGTTTTATCAGATTCTCCCCATTCCCTTGTTTATCAATTCCAACAGTCATGCAATTCTCTCCACCCTTTTAGTCTTGATGGAAATAGTGGAGTCTGTTTGGCCCCAAGAAAGGTTTCAGTAAGATAAAATTTTTAGTAAGATAAAAATCAAAATTGCCCAAATCCATACAGCAATGATTTCTTGTTGTGTTTTAAATCAGTCAGAGAACAGAAGGCAAGACAGAGGAGTGGGGCAATAGACTGTAATCTTGAACATTTTTTACATTTTTTCCTACAGTCCTGTCTTCCCTGGATTTTGAAAGCCAAATGTGTCATGATTTTGAAATACTTCCCTATTTCATCCACCTATTAGTATTTGCTAATAAAAAGGCATAAAAATATTGACTTTGCTAATCTATTTATTGATGTTTTTATTATATTCATACTCTGTTTAGAATTATTGCTTAAATTATGCCTTTTTTCACTTTGTGCTCTTTTATCTCTTTTCTCATGCGGCTCCACAGAAACATTCACTGTAAGTGATATTGGATTCTCCTCGTTCCCCTTTGTTGCTCAGGATGTGGGCACATCTTTGTGCAGTGAATCCATGTTTAGGATGACTGGGATGTAGTTTATCAATTGTCATTATTTTAATATTAATTTCCATGATGGCTACTAAAGTCATGTAAGAACTTTTCTAAAGCTTTCACTGTATATTCCACATGTGTATTTTCTCCAGAATATAACAGCATTCATTATTTCAATATGTCAGCTGGCAGCTTTGCCCACAATGTATTTCCTTCCTTTTTATCAAGCAGCGTTCATTTCCTTGGGTCTTAGTGTTTGTCTGTCTGTATGACTAACCGTCTTTAATGATGAAAAGGACAGAGACATTTTAAATGAATGTGTAAAAGACTTTTCATTCTTTACTTCACTGGCATTGCTCCCCATGGTCAACCTCATTGCCCTGAAGCCCAAGAGTACAGGTCTTGGATGTGAAGGATAGAGTGTTTCTGTGCTTTTTCTCATCCAGGGCAACTCCTGCTTGTAGTTGCTGTGTGAATTCATTGACTTAGCTTGAGCTCTATGAGAATTAGTTCCTTAATGGCCCTTCTCTTTTCCTGTACTCCTGCCATAATGATAAGACAGAATTATGGTCAGGGTTGCACTCATAGATTAGGGTTAACTGGAAGGGCATAGGATTATTGCTGGGGCTATTTTCTTTTATTATTATTTTTTTAGTTGTCAATAGAATTTATTTATATGAGGTGCTGAGAATTGAACCCAGTGCCTCACACATGCTAGACAAGCGCTCTACCACTGAGCCACAACCCCCGCCCATACTGGGGCTATTTTCTTAAAGGGATTTAAAGCTACATCTAGGAACTATTCACAGTGTCAGGGCTGGGAATGCAAATAATGATCAGTTTCACTTATTAGAGATTGATACAATGCATTGGAAGGTTCCTTTTGCAGTTCAGGACTGGGGGTTGTGGTCCTTTCTCATGGTAGAGATGAAAAAAAGAGCTGGACTTGAGAATCCTGGCATACAATTTGAAAGTCGGTACCTCTGGCCACTCCAGAATGGAGCCAGCTTTTGTCCCTGGCTGACTGAGGCAGGAGCAAATAACTAAACCCCACTCCACTGTGTGGCATTGCAGATCTTTGGAAGGCTAACTTTTGTGTCCAGTTGACAGCAAGAGAACAAAGGCGATAGCCTTATATGTTTGTTTTGTGCAATGTTTAATGTGTTTGTATTTAATTGATGTGAATAATAATTTGGTTGAAAGAGAGATGGTCATCTTTGGACTCACTATTTCCCTCAATTTACAAATGCACAGATGTTAAGATTTTTCTTTTGTAGAGCTTAGAGAGACAAAGAAAAGTATATAGAGAAAAGAGGGACCTGCTTTATTAACAAGGAACATTATGATGCTGTAGCTTCATATTTTATTCTATATTCTAACCAAGTGTGTCCCTCTGTACAACATTAAGACTCCTGGAGGGGCTGGAGATGTGGCTCAAGCGGTAGGGCGCTTGCCTGACATGCGTGTGGCCTGGGTTCGATCCTCAGCACCACATACCAACAAAGATGTTATGTCCGCTGAAAATTAAAAAAAAAAAAAAGACTCCTGGGCACATAATCACATTAACATGGAAAAATTACATGCATATTCTATAGGTTTTGTTTAAAGGAGCTTATTGCTGTGAGGGAAGGGGTAGAAACAGTTAATGAAATGTTAGGAAGAAAAATCTCAATGATTATATTTAGCTCTTGATTGAAATAAATATGAAACACAAAAATAAACTGCCAGGGAATGGTAGTGTTTTAACCCAGGAAAGAAATTCTGGAAACCTGTCTGGCTCCAGGGCAACTGAGGAGGGTACTATAGTTACAGAGTTGGATGGGCATGAGCCTCAGCATACTCCTGGCAGGCTACAGGTTTTTGAGAAGGTGCTTTTAAAGGATTGGTCTGGGTTCTACTGTGTCCTCTTGAAGGTTTGAAGGTCACTAAATTTTGTTAAGGTTTGTTTGGATAGTTAACATTGTGTCCAGTTGTAAAAGTAGTTGTGTGTGTGTGTGTGTGTGTGTGTGTGTGTGTGTGTGTATTTGTTATATAAAATACCAAACAGCATGAAGAAGGAATGAGAAAATGAGAAATGCCACCCTTGGAGAGCACAGTGCTGTTCTTTTCTTTTGGTTCTGAGGTCTAAACATGCAGATTGAAGGGTCTTCCCCACATCCTCTTAAGTTCTCTGTGTTCATTAAGGGGTGAAAAGAGATTTATGAATCCAAGTATCTTTGTAGACAATTTAAAAACTTTCAAAGAAGTAGCCAGAATTCTGATTCTTTAGTTTTTCAATCTTACAAACAATTGTGTGTAGTGTATTTCTATGCATGTGCATATTATGGTGTGTCTCAGGAACACTTAGTAACTTAGCAATTCTCTATAGAGGCCCTGGCCTCCTTTGATGTCATCTCCTGACCCAGGTGTGTCTCTTGTTTGCAGCAGTGACTCTGAGGGAAGACAGTGCCAAGAGATTGGAGAGGAGAGCGCGCCGTGTCTCCGCATGCCTGTCGGATTACTCACTAGCCAGTGATAGCGGGGTATTTGAACCTCTAACCAAAAGGTTAGGAGCTTATCTTATTTCCTTTTTCCCAAACTGACTTACCATAGTTACTGTTACACATGAAAAGGATCCATACTGAAGCTGTCATATATTGAAACTGTTATGTAGAAGTTGAATATTTTTCTAACTTTTTTCAACTTCAGGAGGTTGGGCCTTAGAAACCTGCAAAAATAACTCCTCTGGCTTCTGTGGCATTTGGAGGTTGGCTCTCATTCTGGTGTTCTAGGATGACTTCTTTCTCCCTGGTCCCAGTGAACTTAAGGTTTAAACCCAATAGAGCTGAAAAAGGAGAATCAATACACACATAAGAGAGACCTGCTTTTCTGGAAAGGATAATCCCTAGAAGTGAATTTCCTTCTTATTTCCTTAGCTATAAGAATCCCCTTGCAATGAAAAAAAATGACTTTTTAGACTAATTTTTTTTAAAAAAATATTTTTAGTTGTAGTTGGACACAGTACCTTTATTTTATTTATTTATTTTTATGTGGTGCTGAGGATTGAACCCAGCGCCTCACATGTGCTAGGCGAGTGCTCTACTGCTGAGCCACAACCCCAGCCCCTAATGTGATTTATTTTGATTGACTATTTTTGATTTTATGTTTTCTTTGTATATTCATAAATTTCAAGTATAAGACATTTCAGTTATTTCAAACTTATATTTTTGAATGCTGCCTTGAATATTATATGGAGTTTTGAAAGGTATGCAAAGTTATTTTCCAAAACAAATACAACATAAATAAGTAACAGCAGTTGGTAGGCAGGTACCCATGAGAGACCCCATGGATCCTCAGGATCCATGCCCTTTCATACGCTTAATGAGCCTCTTTATTTATGTCACAATTTGATAAAGCTCTTCTCAGTAAGAGGCACCCTCAGCATGAGAGAGTTTCTATACAACCTGTAGTGATCAGTTCCCTTTGTAATAAAGCTGGGCGAATTTCCCCTTGTGTTCAGGAATGAAGATGCTGAAGAGACTGCTTTTGGAGACACATGTGGTAATGACGACCCCCAGATCCACGTGGGATTTCTGTGAGTACAGAAGCTGCCTTCCCTGTTACTCTTAAAAATGCCTTGTAGGGTGGGGCCCACCATGGTGCTGYTTCCCAATCCTTGATACACACAGTCCTACTTCAGCCAGTCTTAGGTGAGGTGACAGAGGTGGCAGGAAGGAGTGTGTTTTTAGTCAGCTTTTTCACTGCTGTGACTAAAGGACCTGACCAGCACAATTACAGAGGAAAAAAGTTTATTTCAGGACTTGCAGTTTCAGAGGTCTTAGTCCTAGAAGGTTGACTCCATTCCTCAAGACTGAACATCATGGCAGGAGTGTGTGGCAGAGGAAAGCAGCTTACATCATCAGGAAGCAGAGAGACTCCACTGGCCAGATACAAATGTGTACCCAAAGCTACACCCTACTTCCCACCTCCTTCCTCCACACCCTACCACTTCAGTTACCACAGTTAATTTCTATCAGGGGATTAATTCACTGATTGAGTTAAGACTCTCACAACCCTATCGTTTCTCCTCTGAACCTTCTTGCATTGTCTCACACGTGAGCTTTTGGGGGACACCTCACATCCAAACCATAACAAAGCAACAGGGAAAAGGGGTGCCATTGCTGTCTTTCAGCACAGATATTCACAGCTAAGGACTGTCACCTCATGGAGCTAAGGGGTGTGGGAGCCATAATGGGGTACTGAAAGCCCCTGGTTAAGTCCGCCTCTTGGGGATATTTTTGCACATTACTGCCAGGAGTTGAATATGTTAACTGTGGTGCAGATACAGATAATGGGGTCCTTTCCTCTTCCCAGAGAAGTCACCAGGTGGTTTGCAACACAATACTTTTTAGTTTCCAGTTACAGTTTCAATTGAGGCAGTAACTGTACTGTTCACACTAGCAGGACAAGAAGTTCAGATCCCTGGTGTTTTCTTTTGCTTGCTCTTGTTATTTTGTCCAGGTTTTTTGGAGTTGACACTGTTGACATTTGGAAGCAGATCATTCTTTACTCTGGGGGGTTATCTTGTGCACTGTAGGGTGTTCAGTAGTATGCCTGGCCTCCATCCACTGGATGCCATGATACTCACTTTCTCTCTAGTTGTGACAATAAAAAATGTCTCCAAACATTGCAGATATCCCCTGGGGATAAGGTGGGGCAAAAATCCCCTTCAGTTGATGGCCACTGCTGCAGTCCAGTCAGAGGGACTTTTCCGCTGTGGGGAATTTGTGGTCCACAAACTCTGGCTTTGTTTTCTAGGCATGACAGTGCCAGCGAATGTCTTCTTGTGCACGTGCTCCAGCTGAGGAACTTTGCTGGGCTGGTAATGAAGGAAGACTATAAAATGTAAGCTTCCAGCTTGGAGATTTAGGGGCCATGTACAGCTAGTGATGGCCTCTCAGGGGCCCTCCTCCATACAACGTGGTGTACCAACCTGGTTTACTTGGCAGTCTGGGGAAGGAATTTACAGTAAATCACTAGGGAATATCTATCTGAACTATAAAGAACTATACGTTTTAAAAGGAGCCTAGTTAATTATTTGAGGCAGATGAAGTTATGTGCAGTGTTGACACCAAGGAAGTACCTATCATGTGTGTTAAGAGGCCTCTGACTAGGATTAGGGAGACCTTGGCTGAAGAGAACAGGAAAAGTGAATCGGGACCACTTGGGAGTCACCTAGTAACCTTGGCCTTGATAGTGGAATTTCTACCTCTCTGCACTCCATGGCCCTAGGCAGGTACTCAATGGAGTGGTCACTTGCCATTCAAGACCAAGCTTGGAACCCTCCTTCCTTGAGTCTTCTATGTAACTAGTCTTCTAAATTCCTTGGAAGCACCCTGGTGTAAGTGGCTGAGGCTCCACCTGTGATTCAGCTTACCCTAATGATATATGTTGCAGTGGTGATAAATGTTTGAGAATCCCCCATGTGCCAAGTTCTAGGCTGGGAATGGAAAGGGCAGGGAAAATGTCAGTGCCCCCATGTGTTATAGGCTGACAAGTTGACAGTCAGTGCTGTGAGGAGACAGCCAAGGAGTTCTTGCCAAAACACGATGACCATCAGTACTATGGAAGACCTGGGGTATTTAGGACTGACCTCAAAGTTTTCCTTTGGCAAGTGATCTCCTGGGGCACATCCAGTTCTTTGGGCTTACTCTTAGTTTACAAAGGAACTTTTTCCAAAGGACTCTGAAGTTTCCCCATGGGTACCAAAAGAGGGCCACTCATGAGGGTACACACTTGCATCACGTCAATAAGCACTGCCTGCCAATGCTTTCCTCCTGTCTGCTTCCAGCCACGTCCGCGTCTACTTGCCCCCGCTCGACTCTGGCACCCCCAACACTTACTGCTCGAAGGCTCTGGAATTCCAAGCCCCACTGGTGTTTAATGAAGTGTTCAGAATCCCTGTGCATTCCAGCATGTTGACGTTGAAGTCACTTCAATTATATGTGTGTTCAGTGAATCCACAGCTGCAGGAAGAACTGCTGGTATGGTGCCGTGGCTCGTGCTGGCTCACTGCTCCATCCTTCCCTCCCTCTTCTCCCTCATTTGTGTTTAAGTCTTCTTTCCTTCCTTCCATTTTTTTCTTTTAAAATTCTTTTTTCTTAGTTTTTGTCTTTCTGCCTTTCTCTCTTTTCTTTTGTTCATTTCTGTTGCCTTCCTTCCCCCCTCTTCTTCCTTTCTTCTCTCCCTTCTTTCTTCTCTTCCATTCTCTTTCCCTTCCCACTTATGTGGGTAGCTTAGAAATGATCCTAATGTCAAGTAGTTTTTGTAGCTGAGAGTACAGAAAGGGATGAGCTAACCAATGATCTTGACCAGTGATTTTTACTTTAAATGTATTATCTCAATATGGAAAACCCCCATGCAATGGCTTCCATATTATCCCCGTTGTCAGTTAAGAAACAAAGTAGGGTTGACTGATATGACAAATAAAATATAGGATGATCTGTTAAATTTGAATTTCAAATAAATTATGGATGCATTTAGTATATTTTAGTGTAAGTATATATTATTAGTATATTAATAATTAATAATAAGTATATATTATTAGTGTAAGTATATACTCATGCAATATTTGATACTTTCTTGTAGTAAAAAAATATACAGCTTACTTGAAATTCAAATATGCCTGAATTCCCTGTATTTTATCTGACAACCCTAGGACTAGACCTCAAGAGAGGCAACAAATAATCCTGAGAAGCCAGCCGTGCAGTGTCCAGGCCAGGACTTGGAAGCCAGGATGGGTTATTTCCAGTGTTGAAATCTTTCCCCTGGCTCCTGTGTCCTGAGTGGTAGAATTAGGGAGTGTAGAGTTTAACAGGCCTTTCTTATTTCAAAAATTTTGAGGGAATCAGTGGTCCATCAAGTAGCCAAGCTCTGGGTCTGGCCCAGCCCTCCATATTGCTACTTTGCCACTGTTCTAGCACTTTCTGATTGTGCTGAATATGCAAACAGGGGAATCACACTTGTTAGGATCCTCTGGGACCACTTTCATTGTACTGTCATGCTTCTACTAAAAAGAAATATTTTATCTTATGATTGAAGGGTGAACTTGATATTTTAAAGGACTTTAGTTGCTAAGGTAAAATTATTCAGTTCTTGTTCTGGCTTTTCTTTTTAACACCTATGCAGGGCATTGCTCAGATTAATTTAGCTGAATGTGACAGTTCAGGCGACATGCAGCTGCGCTGGTACCCTGTGCAGGTCTTCGCCAGCTCAGAGCCACCGAGGTGGAGGGAGAATGGGCGTGCTGGGGAGAGTGTCTCACGGGACCCTGGGCATGCCAGCTTGGGAAAGACGGTATGTGGCCCTGGTTTAAGGAGCTGACCTTTCATGGCTGCTTTTATGACTTTGAGACTGTCTTTGCTTGGGGAAATCATTTCTAAGAAGATTCTATGTGGATTTAAAGTCAGAATGTGGGGACAATGAAGTAGCATTTCAGAGGAAGGTATAAAAATGGAATATGTCCATATCTATAGCCTTTTCACAGTCATGCTTTTTTAATGCTAATGTGTTTATGATCACCAGAGGTTTGTTGGTTATCTTTAAATCTGACTGTTTGAAAAGGCCAATGAGTATCTTGCTGTGAACAGTGGGTGGGTTCTCCCATTGCAGAGCCATCAAGGCCCACAGTCCAAGGGTGATTGGATTGCTTATGGTGAACCATGGTGCCCGCTGTCTGCTTTGCTGCTGTAAGTTTGTGACTAGGCTTGTTCTCAGAAATGTCTTTTTCTCCTGCAGGATGCAGTGACAGTGTTGCTGGCTCGAACCACAGCGCAGCTGCAAGCCGTGGAGAGAGAGCTGGCCGAGGAACGGGTGAAGCTGGAGTACACTGAGGAGGAGATCCTGGAGATGGAGAGGAAGGAAGAGCAGGCCGAGGCCATATCTGAGAGGCAAGTGCCTAGCTCCTAAGGGCGTTCGTGCAGTCCTCCAGACTCCACCCCAGCCAGGGGATGAGAGTGCTTTACACATCTTCAGGAAGATGAGGCATATTTTCCTAGGGCAAAACCAATGGGTGTTGTTCAGCTGTGGCTCTCTTGGTTGGAGCTGTCTTGGAGTGCAAGATGCTTTTCTCATTTCTGCTGGGTGATTCTCTGGTTCTCTTGCTCAAGAGCTGGGAATCTGATGAGACGTTTGATACTGATCTGAAGAAGGCCAGTTCCCTGAGCTCTCTGTCCCAATTCTCTGTGCAGGATTTAAGCCTTCCCCTTCCCCACTGGAATGTCACTTGAAAGGTGGGATTGTGGACTCCCCTCCACCAGGTCTGAATACAACAAGGTTCCTTTAAAGTCCCTTTGTTGCTGTTTTTGCTTTTCAACCTCCTCGTTGGGATCTAATCTATTTGCCACACAATTCACCCATTTAAAGTGTAAAATTCAGTGGTTTTCAGTATAGTAACAGTGTGCCACTATTACCATAGTCCGCTGTAGGGCATTTTCATCTTGCCAAAAAAGCCCCACCCCTTCTTCCTCTCCTCTAACTCCAGACAAGCACAAATTTACTCTCCACCTCTATGCACTTGCCTGTTCTGGACATTTTCCATAAATGGAATTTTGCAGTGTCCCTTTACATGTTACTAAAGGCAGAACATTAGTAATGTCCTTGACTCTGTAAAGGCCTGCATGTAATGGACAAATAATTCCTATGAGCAAGCACCTCTAGTGAAGTGGTTTGCTTGACCCTCTCTGGAGGCAATTTTTCCATGCCATTTTTCATCTTTCCAAAGGTTCCCTATTTTTCCCATGGCTTCCCTAAATTTAGTTCAAGAGGAATTTATTTTTGGAAGGATAGTGCATAGCAGAGGGGGAGTATATTATGTTCAGGGATGGTCAGAAAGACAGGAGGGGCTCTGGGGTAGGGGTTTCTGGCATTTCCAGTGGCTGCAGTGGTTAATAAGAAAGACCCATGCTGTTCAAAAGCTTTGAAGTGTTTTCTTTCCTAGAAAGCAGAAATGCCTCTTTATTATATGAGGGTAGCAACTGTTTTCAGTTAGTGAATAGAAATGGGTTTCATTGGGTTTCTCTACTACTGTGCTCCAAAAGCAGCAATGAAAGCAATCCCTTCTGATGAATATTTGTGGGATTTTGTCTACCTTTAGGAGTTGGCAAGCTGACTCGGTTGACAGTGGCTGTAGCAACTGTACCCAGACCAGCCCCCCATACCCAGATCCCTGTTGTGTCAGTGTCAACTCCATCCATGGACACACATTTACTGGCCAGGCAGATCCTTACAGCTCTGAGAAGCTTCAGCCCCCACCTCTTAAGGTAAGTAGAAAATGTCAAGGGACTTTACAGAGCCCCTTGATATTTCAATGTATAATATCAGGTGCTGTCCAGAAAGAGAGGCTATGTACCCCTAAATCCATCAAGGGAAGTGTGAGGGGATGGGCAGAGGAGAGGCACTAAAGGAAACCAGAGATGATGGGCACATGCAGGTGTGGAAGGACATGATTACCAACAAGCACCAGCCACATGGACATCATGGAATGTGGGGAAGCCATGGTATACAATGCACAGTGCTGTTGAGTTTGGGGGTCATAGCTGAGCTAATACTGTGTTTTCCTGAGAGCTGAAGAAAAAAATCATCTGGTCTAAGATTTGTAAAGGGCTTAATGTGGTGAAGCAGGTACTTGAGAAATATTTGTCAATTTTATATTTCAAGGAAAGGATAGCTACAACTAAAAATGTAGGTTTTTACTCCTTTGTGTGCTATTTTGTGGTGATCCATTCCTGTCTTCAGGGACAAATGTGTCAAGCAGTTTCCTGGGCCTCAAAGGGTTTGAGCACCTCTTGCTACTTACTCTTTGAAACATGAAGAACAGCAAAGCATCCTTTTACCCCATCTGGTCAACTATGTTTGGTTGACATTGTATCAGTGCCCTGTTGAAATTTTATTACCCAGACTGTTCAGTACACACACACAAAAACCATTTATCACCACGGCCCCTGCCCTTGTCCTGAAACACAAGGTAAAATTTACCCCTTGGGCAGCTGCCCAAGCTGCAGCCTGTACAGCAGGTTTGGAGTAATTTTAGACTAGGCTGCCAGTAATTGCTGTTGTTCTACTTTTTACAACCTTGAAAAGCAGTAGTCTAAATCAGGGTGAGTGGCTGTGGGAGGCTAGTTTGGTGTTTCCCCCTTCCCCAAATTTTATTTTCAAAAATCTTCAAATCTACTCAAAGTTTGCTGGATTAATGCAATAGATATCCATATACCCATCACCTAGATTCCCCAACTGTTAGTCCATTCCCACATTTCCATTCTCTCTTTCTGTGTTGGCATATGTAGTTTCTAGGCATCATAGATACAATAAGGAAAGGGGGAAAAAATAAGAAATGGGCCACCATTAACAGGGAATCAGACAGTTGAAAGGATAAATCTGTGAAATACAATTATGTTCTATGTTAGGTAATCAAAATGTCCACTAAAGAATCAGATGGTAGGGAAGAGGGGTTTATATTTATGGAAACATTTGTAATTTTAGGAAAACTTTACATTTAAAATGCAAATTTGCATTTACATTTGAGAAAGGTCAGAATCACAAAATAGTGTGACTGCTGTGTAAAACAGCATGACAGTTTCTCAAAATGTTAAAAATAGGACTACTGTGTGGTCCAACAATCTCATTTCTGGGTATTTATCCAAAAGAATTGAAAGCAGAATCTCTGGCCCCAGGGAATCACCCCAATCTGCTTTCTAGCTCTGTGGGTTTGTCCATTCTGCATATTCATATAAATGCAATAGTATAATACATGACTTTTGTGTCTAGCTTCTTTTGCTCAACATAATGTTTTTTTTTTAAAGAGAAAGAGAGAGAATTTTTTAATATTTATTTTTTAGTTGTTGGCGACACAACATCTTTGTTTGTATGTGGTGCTAAGGATCGAACCCGGGCCTCACGCATGCCAGGCGAGCGCACTACCACTTGAGCCACATCCCCAGCCCTCAACATAATGTTTTTGCAATTGATCTGTATTATATTGTATGTCAGAACTTTGTTCCTTATATGGCTGAATAATATTCCCTTATGTGGATAGAATCTGGGTACTAGATGGTGAATCTGATGAAGGGTTGGTGACAAGTGGTCAAAATCTACTTATCTTGGACACAAAATCAAGAGGATTTTCTCTTGGACCACTCATGGGATATATGAAAGAGAACAGGGCCCAGGATGGCACTAAGATGTCTTTTCCATGAACAAATAGAAAGTAGAGATCTTTGTAAAAGGCTCCCCCTAGTGTGTAGAGAATCCCAGCTATTCACTTTGGACACATGAGGTATGAAATGCCAGTTATATTTGAGGATGAGGTTAGAGAGATGGTTGTTTGCACTGTTTATTGCTTGTGTTATGGAAGAAGTCATAGTAATAAATCAACTGCTGCCCAGGTGGACAAGGAAACCAACACAGAAGATCTCTTCCCAGAAGAAGCAGTGAGCATCCTGAAGGAGCGGCCCAGCCGCCGCACCCGTGGGACACCTTTTGTTCGTAGTAGCACGATTGTACGTTCTCAGACCTTTTCACCTGGAGCACGAAGCCAGTATGTTTGCAGGGTGAGTCATAATTCCTTTGTCACCTCTCTGGATATTCCCTTATTTTTCTCTTTGTCATGTTTTCATTTTTACTATTTATGCCAAAAGAGCTATGTATCTTCCCAAATTCTACCAGTGAATCAATGAATACCCTACGTGTTGACAGATGAAATCTGAGTTCTGCTGTTGCCTCCCCACTCTTGCCTGGTGCCTGTCTAATTCTGGATCCCTTCAGGATTGGGATACATTTTCCCCTGGTTTTTTTAATGTTATACTTATGCCAACAAGTGGTCAGGAGGCGATGTGAATCATTTCTACATTAGTTTAAGGAATAGCAAGTAAAAACAGGAACTGTCTTTAGTTGTGATCTGGAAGACCAGGTCCCTCTGCATGGTTACAAGTCCTGAAGTGTAGCTGTACCACTGGGTAGTGATAACCTGGAAGAGCCTGAATGCTAAGGCAGTGGGTTCTGACTCAACTATATGTAAATTCATATCCCATGAGGGAAAATGGGGATCCTCAGTGGTTCTCAACCTTGGCTGCACCTTGCAATAAAATCACATTGGAAGGCTTCATCACATACTGATGTCCAGGTCTCACCCCCAGAGATTTGTCATTGGTCATAGGTGAGGCTTGGCATCAGAACTTTTGGAAACTCCTAGATGGCTATAATGGGTGCATAGGACTTTGAACTCTCAGGTGGGTGGAGAGGAGACCCAATCCTGGGTGGTCATTGAAGACAGGACAGTGAGATGGAGGTTGGTAGGCAGTGATGATGTGACAATGATAGCACAGACCTGGACAGAAAAAGAGGTTATTTGGGGTTTTTTTGTTTGTTTTTTTATAGATAAATGGTCATGATGCTTACTCATATAGTTGGCTGCACTTGATTGAAGACTGTTCTCATGTCTCTACCTTATTTTGGACTCTTGCTGAATGACCTAGGGGTAGACTCAGGGCTGCTTCTTGAGGAGGATAGGGTAATAATGCAGCAAAGTTTTGTTCACCTGGAGGAAGACTGGCAGTCCTTGTACAGTGCTCTACATTCTACACAAAAGCTGGCATTTACTGGCGATGTTGTCAGAGGCCTCATTTTTATGTATGTTGGTATCTTGGTGGGGCAGGTTCACTGATGTGCTACTGCATTTCCTGAGTATTTCAGGTTAACTGGCATAGAAAATAAGCTGTGAAGGCAAAGACTTGAGCTTTCACTCAGACACACGTTGTTTCTGTGGTAAGACCCTGACACCACATGAAATCCACAGTGTTATGGTGTGTCCCATAGAAGAAGGCATCCTTTATTTTTCCTCTTTAAAACCAGACTTTCCCCTCGACTGGCATAGCAGGAGTTGGTGGTGTTGGCTTGTTCCACTGCAGCAATGAGTCTCTTGTTTCAACAGCCATTCTCCCAACTTTCTCTGCCCAAACCAGAAATGCAGCAAATGAAGATGATTGATAAACAGTAAAAGGTGCTCAGGACAATGCTGGCTTTTGTGAACTTCATTCCTAATATCAACTTGTAGTTGGAATCAATAGGGAAAAAATGTTATTGACTCAATCAGTGTGGAAACTCCACATGGTTCAGTTGATAGACTTAAAATGGGACCAGGGTGGTGGCTTTGTCTGCTTTGGTTTTGTCTTTCATTTTCCCTTGAAACTTTTCTGTAGGTTTTGTTTTAACTGAAATCCAAAGACCGATAAGAGCACCAGAAGTCCAAAGTGTATTTATGTGCCTCTAAAGAGAAATGAAATAATACCATTCAGAATACACACAGAATGAATAGTAAATTTCTGATAAAGTTCCTGAACATCATTTTTTTTTTTGATACAGCTTTATCGTAGTGACAGTGACAGTTCAACACTGCCCAGGAAGTCCCCCTTTGTGCGAAATACTTTGGAAAGACGAACCCTTCGCTATAAACAGGTGTGTGTTGTGTAAACTAAAATGGCATCTGTACTTGCCCTGGGAGTTATTTTTATAGCATTCAAAAGGTAATATTTCAGGTAATATTTAAGACTGTTTTTTCTTGACAAAAAATCTTTGAAAAACATATATAATGTCATAATGTTACCAGTATTTCTTAAGACACTATTTTGTATAATTTGTGATCTTTATATTCTTAGATGTAGTGAATTAATAATAAATCAGTAACTGCCATCCCAGGTCTGTTTCCGCTTGGGTGGGAATTACTGCCCTCAACTTCATGAACAAGTCTTTTTTCTCTTAGGGGTTTGTTGAACATAGCATATTTGCTTACTTGAGGCTTGTATGGGGAGGAAAGTTTTTGACAGCTGGCGTGTGTGTGCACACACATGCCCACAAGTGTGTCCACACATACACATGGGCATGGGTGTGTATGAAGTTTTTTAAATGTAAAGCACTGATGTGGTTTGTAATGTGTTCTTTTTTCTCTTATACCATGGTCCTAAGGCTTTTTCCATGTCAATATATGTTTTCATTTTTTCAATGGCTACATTTTATGTTGACCTAAATTTATTTAATCATTTCCTGCCATTGTATATTTAGGTTTTCTCCCCCCATCATAAACATCAGTTGGATCCCTTATCCATGTTGGCAGTTGTAACTTTTAGATGCATGGCAAAAATGATATCTCAGAACCAAAGAAAATGTATATCAAATGACTTCTGGAAACTGTGCTCATTTTTGATCCTGCCAGCCCCATATATGAGTGTCTGTTGCTCCATACTTTTGCAAATACATAGGTCATCATTCAAGAAAACAGTTTTCTATTACTAAGCTTATTATTGTACTAGAGACAATCTTGCCCCCCAAGTCTCTGTTTTTGTTTTATTTTTGTTGCCAGGCATTGAACCCAAGGGTGTTTAATCACTGAGCCACATCCTCAGCCCTTTTTATTTTTTATTTTTCTGAGACACATTCTCAGTAGGTTGCTAACAACTTCACTAAGTTACTGAAACTGGCTTTGAACCTGCAATCCTCCTACCTCAGCCTCCTGAGCTTCTAGGTTATAGGCATGCACCACCATGCCTGGCCCAAGTCTGTGTTTTTAAAATTTGGGCTGCACTTAGAGAGATACCTGTGCTGTACCTGTTTCCTATTAATTGTGGAAGAATCTTCCAGAAGGGCAAACATGTAGACTTGCTGGGCTGGTGTGCACAATCATAGCTATGGTCTCCTGCAGTCCTGTAGGTCTTCCCTGGCTGAGCTCATGGCCCGCACCTCCCTGGACCTGGAGCTGGATCTCCAGGCATCTAGAACACGGCAGAGGCAGCTGAATGAGGAGATCTGTGCTCTCCGGGAGCTGAGGCAGAGGTTGGAAGATGCCCAGCTCCGAGGCCAGACCGACCTCCCGCACTGGGTGCTCCGAGATGAGCGGTTCCGCAGCCTGCTGAAGGAAGCAGAGAGGCAGGTGAGAGGTTGTTGGTCTGCCTTGGCAGGCTCCCTGCTTACTACCTGTCCACAGTCACAGCCCTTTGAAACAACTGTACTTGGGTTCAGAAGTAAGCATCTGGATAATGAAGTAATTGTAATGATCTAGGAACTTATCTATGGGGCCAGTTCTCTACTTCTGTGGGTCCGGAGAGTAACATTTATCATGGTACCAGCATACTTCTGGAGACTGTGGGAGCTGGAAGGAAAGCCCAGAGATACTCCCCAACTTATGGGAGGAATGTTCTGCATCCCCGGTCTCCCAGGTCTGACTCCAGCTATCCCTAGTGATGCATGTGAAAAATTTCTCTGAGGGACGTGGAGGAGGTGGACCTTTCTTGACTCTGGATCTTCATGACTGGGGTTGGTTCCTCTGTGCTCCAGGTCTGAGTGTGAACTCACTCATTCTTCCTTAAAAATGGCAATAAAAACATCTTGCTCATTAAATATTTCTGTTTCAGACACGACAGACCAAACTTGACCATCATCAAGAACAAGCAGCTGAGAAGATGCTAAAGAAGGCCTCCAAAGAGATCTATCAGTTGCGCGGGCAAAACCACAAAGAGCCCATCCAAGTGCAGACCTTCAGGTATGGGAGAAACAACACTGTGTCTAACCATGCTTGACACTTTCTTTTTACTATTAAACCTTTGTTATTATGAAAAACAAAGTAAGTATTGAAAAAAAAAACAGAAATACACTAAAAGCAGCATTCCCATCTCTAATAGCTAGTCCTAGTATTAATTTTTTATATCCTTGATATTCATATCCCCAGCATAAACTAGCTTGAAATGTTTCTTGCTTCCTTCAATTCTGATTTAGACTCATTGACTCATTCATTTATTTATTAATAAAACAAATATTCTTATACCTACTCTATACTAGGCACTGTTAGGCACTGGAGGTAAACCCCTGATCTCATGGGTCTTCGTAACTTATTAGAATTTAGAGACTGTATACAAATAGCGTTGTTGCTGGGGATTCAAATTCAGTCACCTTTCAGTGTCTGCAGAACAGCTTCTAACCTGTAATTCTTTCTGATCTCAGGGAGAAGATAGCATTTTTTACAAGACCAAGGATTAACATACCTCCTCTCCCAGCCGACGACGTTTGATGTAGTGCATTGTGCACAGAAGTATTTATCTGCCTGTTTTATTTTCATGAAGTTCTTAGATTAGCTAAATTTGTCTTTAAAATATTTGTGCAAAGCTATTAATATACACATTTTGTAAAAAAAACATATATCTATACATATATATTTTATAATAGTGACGGCAACAGGGCTTGGTTTTTCCTTGTTGTGAAATTGACATCTCTGAAGACAGGTTATTTTATAAAAGATCAACTATCATGTTAAGAGTGTACAGTTTTTACACTGTTTTATTTGACTTAAAGGCTGGAAGACAGAAACGAAGTGAGTTCAGGCAAATTCACTGTATTGTAATTTATTTATAGTACTTTTTTCCTTGAAGGAAAATACTGACTTTAAGATGTATTTTAAGACTGAAATTTTGTTCTTCAGTATTTGTCATACAGTAGAATGGAACTTGGGGCCGGTTTTGTTTCTGACACCCGAAACGCAAACACTATGTGCTAAATCTGTCACTTGTATCAGTTTCTGATAGGTGCATTTACCATGTATATTGTACACTTTCACTCTCTTTGTGTTATGTTAAAATATCAGCTGCAGTGGTTCAGTCGTAATTCACAAGCCATGTATGCGTCGCAGGGCTCAGTGTCCGTTGTGTGCTGTGCACTGATCGCTTCTCATTGCTGTGTTGTTGTCTAATGCATCTTTCTGTGCTTACCACAAGTCTGAAGCCGGTGACAGAGCCTCCGGCATCCCAGGTTTCAGCCTGCCTGTCCATAGTGGCCGTCCACACTGCCTGCATTTGTCAGACCATGTATAGCCCTGCCTTTCCCACCCTTCATGTGATTCTAAAGCAGGAGGGTGGGGTGGCTCCTGCCCTGCTGCTGTTTTGTGAAGGAAGGTAAAAGGTACCTCAGAATGTGTGTTTTCAGTGAAGCTGAGGTGGATGCAGCAGTTATGGCATAGGAATAACCTAGAAAGTGCTTCTTTGTGGAGAGAAGGACATGTGAGTAATTAGAATTACCCAATGAGTCATTTACAGGAGAGTATTTGAGTTAAATCAGAATGCCCCCATATTGGAGTCTACCCAATATTCCCCATGAGATCTTACAACTAGCTCATGAGGAAAAATAAAATTAATGTAATAAAATATACCATTAGTCTTTTAAATGCTGAAAGATATAAGTAGTTTGCCTAGCACATGTTTATCATATGTGAAATGTACTCTCCTTCCTGAGGCCTCAGATAAGTATACAAGTTCGGTCACAGGAAACGTCAAAGAAAGCAGAATTTCTCTTCCTAGATTTTTCTTCCCCTCCCTTGAAAATATCCCTTGTAATCAGGTTTCTCTTCTTATCAATCTATAACCTACCCCCTTATATAACGCACTTCCCTTTACATTTATTAAAAATGAATTTTGTAAAAGCATTTCATTGACACGTGACCAATCACAGACAATGGAGTTTGTCAGTGGTGGTAAAACTGAAAACTTTATGCTATTCACTGTTGTCATCTCTTGCTATGTATTCTTGCTTCTAGTCTTGCTTTTGCTTTTTTTTTTGTTTTTTTGCCAATTCCTTTTTGTACGAACCCACAACAGAGGTAGAGACTGCAAGCCTTGATCCTTATGAAAACTGCCATTTGGCAGACAGCGTTGCTGGGCAGGCCCTCTTTCTGTGCCCTCATGCTGCTGAAACTTTAAACTCCAACCAGGTGCTATCTGCTTCTGGGTACTGGGGTCTGCACAGGGCAGATTGCTCATGTCTCACATGCATGGCACCCTCCATGTGGGGACGGTGCCCTGAACACAGGGATTACATGCCACTTTTGAGCAACTGCCCCAGGAAGCTCTCTCCAAGCTGATCAGTAGGTTGAGACAATTTTTTTTGCCAACCCCCTATTAAGTAATAGTACCAGTGTGGAGAAAACCCAGCAGGGCCAATATAAAAAGCCCCCAGACAAATGTTTTCAACTAAATGTCACTCCCCAGTTGATAAAGATTTCCATGTGAGTGCTTCCCACCTGCCCTCAAGGTTTAATTTTAATTTTTTTTTAAAGAATTTGCCCACAAGAAACAAATGCAGCCTCAGCTTTGGTGTCAGTCCAAGGAGTACTTGTGTCTGACGCCCTTCTGTTTCACCTCTCCCTGCCTTCCTGTCTGTTGTGTCTGCTTTTGCATCTGGCAGGAACTGTAGCAAGGAAAGAAAATTGAGACAAATGAAGGCGAGATGAACAGTTGTGTGGGAGACCGGTCCAAGCAGTCAGGAGGACAAGGAACACCCTTTGTTTCTCAGTCATGATGTGGCTTGCTACCTTCCAGCTAGTTACAACTGCCAGGCCCAGACAATGTGGCAAGTCAGACATGTGAAGTGCTGTCAGCTTAGGGTTATTTTCATCTGCTGTGTAAATTGGTGCATATATAGGGCCTCCTGAGAAGGAAAACTCCGCTGTTTTATGAGCAGTTCTGGTCCAGAAATGATTAGGATTCTGCCATTAGGGTTTGTAGAAATAGCACTGTGTGTAAAAGGGAATTTGGTTTTTCAATATTTAATCACTGCATTGTCAGGCTTTGGTTGATTGATAATTGCTAAAATAAGTAACTTTCTGTTGTGGGAATAAATTATAATCAGTATTCATCTCTTTGTTTTTTGTTACTATTCTCTCTGATTGTGTCATTTGTATTGTTTGAAAGTATTTCTTCTATAAAATTAAACTAACCTGCCTTAAGAACAAAGTGGAAATGTGTGTGTTTTTTTAATTATGGAAACTTTTTTTTGGAGACAGGGTCCCACTATGCTGCTTAGAGCCTCATTAAGTTGTTGAGGCTGGTCTCAAACTTGTGATCCTCCTGTCTCAGCCTCCTGAGTGGCTGGTTTATAGGCATGTGTCACCATGCCTGGCTTTGAAAAATATATAAAAAACAGGAACTATGAATGAAGCTTAATAAAGAGTGCATGCTTAGCATACATGAGGACCTGAGAGTTTCATCCCACTGCCACAAAAAAGAACAAAACATGCACATTTTAAAATATGAAAATAGAGTTATAAAATCAGAGAATAGTAAAATGAATGTACATGCAGCCCCCACCTGCTTCAGCACAGGTCAATCATAGTCAATCATTTTTTTTACACTTCCACTCACTTCTCCTTCTTGTGACTTGAAGCAAATTCCATACACCTTATCATTTCATCAATAAATATTTTAGTATATATTGCCAATAGAGATAAAACATGTACAACACCCTTATGTCTTAAAATTTACTAGTTCCAAGGTTCACTTTCCCATTTGTCTTGTATCATTCTTTTCATTCTTTGAACAGAATCCAAGTATAATCTACTTACTGGGATTTTTTTTTTTTTGTCTGCTTTGGGTTTTTATTTTTGTCATAGCTTTCTTGAGATCTAATTCATGTACCATACAACTTACCCACTTAAAGCATGTAGTTCAATCTTTAATATATTGAGAATTGTGCAAATATCACCACAATTAATTTTGGAACATTTTTGTCTTCTCAAAATATGAACATTCATACCTATTAGCTGTCACTCCCCATTCCTCCGCTAGCCCAACCACCAGTCTACTTGTCTTCTCTCCAGATTTGCCTATGCAGGGCATTTCATACTGAGGGAATCATACAATATATAGCCATTTGTGTCATACTTCTTTCACTCAACTTAATGCTTTAGAGGTCCATCCACACTGTAGCATGTATATCATTTTTTTATGGCTGAGTAATCCCCCATTATAGGGATAGGTCATATTATATTCATCCATTCATCAGTTGATGGACACTTTAGGTGGCTCCCACTCTTTGGCCAACGTAAATAATACTGCTATGATCTTTCATGTTCAAACTTTTGTGTGATCTTTCATGTTCAGACTTATGTTTTCATTTCTCTTAGGTCTATACCTATGAGTGGAATTGCTGGGTCATATGATCATATGGTAACTTCATGTTTAAACTTCCGAGGAACTGCCAGACTGTTTCCTAAAGTCATGGCCCCAGTTTACATTCCCATTAGTAGTGTACTGGGTTCTGGTTTCTTCACATGCTGGCCAACACTTATTGTGTCACTTTGATTATAGCAATCCTGGTAGTTGCAAAGTGGTGTCTTAATAGTTAGGTCTGTTTCTCAGTGTACAGGATTGAACATACACATATTTTGTTAAACATAGGTCATATGTCCCACTTTCTGGACTTATTGATGATATTCCTGTGGTATAGTTGGACATGTTCCTCAGAATTTCATTACTTACAAATTGGTAGTTGGATCTAAAAGTTTGATCACATTGCAGTTTATTTTTCTTCCTTTTTGGGGAGGGATAGGTGGCAAGACTTCTTCATTCTCATCTGTCCTGTAGTCTCTTTGTAATGTTAACAACTATTGGTAGTACCTAAACCCCTTGGTTCCTTAAGGATTGTAAAATGGTGATATTCTAATCCTATCATTTTTCCTACTTATTAGTTGAAATACCTTAACAAAAAGAAACCTACTCATCTATTTAGTTACCCTGTGGTACTATTTTGGGAAAGCAAGATAAATTCTTTTTTTATGTATGTATGTGTGTGTGTGTGTGTGTGTGTGTGTATATATATATATATATATATATATATATATATATTTGTAGTTGGACACAATACCTTTATTTTATTTCTTTATTTTTATGTGGTGATGAGGATCGAACCCAGCGCCTCACACATGCTAGGTGGGCGCTCTACCACTGAGCCACAACCCCAGCCCCCACAAGATAAATTCTCAATTCTTACCAGTTTTCAAAAATAATGATTTTGTTTGCTACCAATGCATAGTGGTGGCCAATTTGCTTTTAGTTTTGAGATTTTTTTATATCATTATTAGCATGTTGATTTAAACATGTTTGTGGTATTTTAATTCACTGTGGTTGTCCATATTGGTGATCAAATTCTCCTGTGTTTGGCTGGTAGAATCTCTCCTTGTTGATTCCCAGGTCCTTTTGTTATGACCCCCAAGGATCTGAGATGGATTCCTTATCATCCTGTATGATCAGAAGTTTGTGACCTGGAACTGGTCATTTTCTCAGGATGACTCAGTTTCTTGTTGCTAGATGTCCTTGTTACTGCTGGAGTGGCCATTTTTAATGGATACACAGTATTTTCTAAGGATAAA